GTCCATTACGTCGTAAGAAGATGTAAACTCGACAATGTTATGAACTCTTCCGTAAAAGTTGATATAAATTAATTTTATATTATTATCATTTCAAATCGATTCACGCGGAAATGATAACAAAAAGCTCAGCGTGATGCTTCATTAAAAGACGATTAGAAACATCACTTTCCCTCAACAACAAATCTGAAAATGAGTCTATCAGGTGAGATTAATTTTACAGATGCTGGAATCTGCACGTCGTAATTATGTATTCGAATCATCAACTTCAACTTTTGAGTGTTATCACAAACACATACCGAGCAAATCTATCTTGTTTGTTCCATGAATTAGCAACAAAAACGTATTTTAACGATGAGGGTTTAATAAAAGAACGAACTTTGCGAAGTTCTTTTGCCAAGTAGTCGGGACTGGCGACACATGGTATCGGCAAAGTTCACCGCAAGTACCAGGGCAGCAGAGCGTCGCTGGAGGTTGAGGGCGGCGCGTGTATTCGCGTGGGCCGCCCCCCACCCCCCGCCGCGCCCCGCGCTCGCCAGAGCGCCCGCCCGGGGTCATCGACCGGCGCGGCCGATTCGGCCGACGGCGCGCCTCACCTTGACATTCATCTCGAACACGCTTTGACCAAGCGCGTTTGACTTAAACCGTAAAAATCTAACTAACTTTTGCACCAATTAACACACTATATAATGCATCCCCCTTGTTTCTTGGGATACTCAAGGTCGTTTAGTATTTGCTATAAACAAGTTGTTTTATAATTATATTGTTACAAAACTATATTTTATATGTATCTTTGTTGATTAGCTAGCTTCTTTCTAATCTGCGGCACGTAGTGTATTATACCGTTATTTCCCGCGACCGTATGAGATAATTTCGTCGCCACAATGTCGATGGCTTTATTTTAATTAATGGATTGAAATGGTAGAGAATAAATTTACACATATTTTTTCATTGATACTATTTTGTAGACAAGTGAGAAAAGCTTTAGCAACTTTACAAGATATATAGGAATGGCAGATGATTTACTCACTAACATATTACTTTGAAAACTAACACCAATGGGATGCAACGATGTCTACCTCGCAATCAGCTGATAACGCTGAGAGATATTTGTATTACTCTGATGCTAACAGGAATTCATAAGTGATAATAGCTTATACAACAAATCCTCACCATCTCGTAAACACCTATCCAAACGAAACACTTTTATAGAGAAGCTAAAATAGACTAAAATTCAGTGTCAAGGCTACCAAGGTCGAATGGCCACTCATTAAAACATAATACACAAAAACAACTCATTCAAATTACATTTTTCCTGAAACAGACCACGCCGACACAAACTAGATTAAAAACACAAACATTCTAACATGAAAGCGTCAGATAGTTCTAGCAAAATGGCAGTTTTCATTGGGGGAGTTTTGTGTCTTGGAGGAGTGCCATCAGAAGCCACAATAAAGAATTTGTTGCGACTAAACGAATTTATTAACATATTCAAAGACGTGAACAATAATGTGATTTCTTATATTCTGATCCGGCTGTGATCTTCTGATTCTAGATCTGGTTACTACCAGATCTAGAATCAGAAGATGGTACTCCAAATCATCCCTAAGAATCTTTGGATCTATAGACCTTCAGATATACCAGGCGAAGAAAGAAACAAAAACTACTCTATCGAAACATATATTATGGTTGTTTTAATTCATATGTTACGTTCGTCTCTGTCTCTCTTGTGAAGGATCGTGATTTTGGGCGATTGCAACGTTGCCGCTTCGCCAGCTATGGCGAGCCACTCGAAAACCGCGCCGTTGCCAAACCGGCCTAACGTATTGTTTACTATAAACACCGTGAACAAAATCATTTATACACGTCGAAGATCAAGTGTACAATACCACCAACATATTACTTCTTTACAAGTGAACGAAAGTTAAATGTAGCCAGTACTTCTGCATAGATCATGAAACTTGCAAGATCAGAGCATACAAACAATTATCACTCTTATTCTTCTGTATTATAAAGAAGAAATTGGAACGAAATAGAATATACTTACTTCTTTGAAGAAATCCAATAACATTTTATGTTTATCTTCAGATATACGAGACATTTAGATTTCGTACTATAAAGTAATTACTTCAACCACCTCACATTAACAACCACATATGTATATAAACCTCGACAACATGTCTGCTAAAGGTAGAAAGACACAACAACCAGCTGTTTGAAACTGTACATAATGAAGATATTGAAAATATGAATCTCCATAAAGCATTGTAACCTAATAAGAGATGTTTATATACATGGAAAAAATATATGAGTCAATAAATAAAATAGGCTGTCACAGATATTTTCTCTATTATTATATGCTTGTATGAGTAAAAATATAAATAAATTATTAATAAACATTAATCATATTCTGTCATAATCTTTACTAATACTATAAATAGGAAAGATTTCACTGTTAGCTTTGAATAGGGTAAAACTACAGACTCTGTTGAAATTGGAAAATACTTTCAGTGTTGGGAAGGTGCACTATCCCCTGGGTGACATAGCTAGATTTATTACTAGTCTGGATATATGATTTTTTCTAAGCAGGTGTGTTACCTCCAACACATTTACTATATGATGACTGAAATTACGAATGATAGATGAATTTAGGAGACGAAAACCTGTTGTGCTTATACACAGGGTGCGGGGTATAGAGGCCTGACCCTTAAAATAGGTGCTATATTATTTAATTAGCAATTCAACCGAAACATGGATGTCATTACGTCAGTTAGTGCTATTTCGGGATGTACATGTACCAACATCAAAAACGTACAAAGCGTCTGAATCGTAACCGCCATTGTTATACGTGAGTCAACGCGGCGGTTATGGTGGTACGTAGTCGTGACCCATGAGGAAAACATACGAGAAACGTGCCACCGCCTTGGTATGGGGTACTTAGACATAATACTGAAGCATTCCACAAATCATATTGATGCAGTTATAAAGCAACTAAAAAGCTTAAATATATTTACATGTTTCATGTGATATTTTTTATTATTAAACTAAAAGCAATATTAGAATCACATTAACAATTTTTAAAACGGTCCTGAAAAGGCAAATTATAGATTCATTCATCGTACAATCTTACAAATATTATAAATGCAAAAGTTTGCATGTATGGATGAATTAATATTTGTAAGAAAGTATCTTTAAAACACCTTAACTCTGAGAAACTTTGCATAGGTGCAGAGCCTATTCTGGAAGAGCACATAGGCTACTATTTAAGTTTTCTTTTAATTTAAACGAACTGAATCGCAGGTCAGTCAGATTAATTTATAGAACTGTGCATAGTTAATTTGAAACTATTAATAAATCTTGACTAACAAGTGTTAATAACGTCAAATAAAATTCTACTGCTCTTCAACAAGGTTAAATACTTTTATATAGAATGACATCATCTCTGTAAACGTAAATTCTTGTTATTCCTTTATAATATTTTCAGAGAATTGATAATAAAGTTCCAACAAAATATGTAAGCAACAATTAACAGAAATATTGACATAACAATGCCACATTTAAAACTGAAGTTAAAGCTCAATTAACATTAATATTTTTGACATCTATTTTTTATTCTCGGAATTCACATAATGTCTAAAAGCAACCCATAGATGTGTAGAAAGCATTTAATATAGATGTATAGAATATATAATTTCATAATAGATTCTTTTACATTTTGTTAAGAATAAACTAGCTGTCGGTCGCGATTCTATTCGCGCGAAATTATAAAAAATCGTCATACGTAGTATACATATTCTTACAGACTATTTTACATCTATGCCTAATTTGAGCAAGATCCGTGTAGTCTTTCCGGAGGCACTTTTAAACAAACACGCATCCATACATCCATTTAAACATTCGAATTTATAATATGTATTAATAAGATGACTAGCAATCAATAAGTATTGGTGATACTTTTTAATGACATTTTAATTACAAGCACAGTTATATGAATGTATTAGGTAAGAGAAAACTATAAAGCATTGCATTGCTAGATAAAAAGGTAGCATATATACATATCAAAAAATGTAAAGACATCTTTTTATAACCATTTATCAATATTAACATTATGACTGCATAAACATCAGTAAAAAATGTCAGGAAATGTTAGATAACTGAGTCATAATTATGATAATATTTGTCACCATTTATATATTTTTACATGGAATATGTAAAAAAATATATCAGTATTTTGTTTGTGAAGACTTTGCAATGGTAACTGGCAATTATTTTCTGTTTGCAGATTATAAGAAACAAATTAGCACCAATTTATAAATTACATGGAGATTTGAGACCTAAATATTACAAACTTTTATTATTTCTTCATTTTATAAATGATGATCAATCCTGTTACCTAAGAACTTTACTAAACATTATCTAGTACTAATGGGTGATTCTTGCTAAGATGACAGTCAGCAATACTATGATTTTTTTATACACAAAAGTAATGTATTTTACAAAACAGTAGACTTTTGGTAGGAATATTATAAATCATCTTTTCACAAAGATAATTTAATCAGACTATAATCATTATTTATAAATGTGTATTAAAAAGGAATATGAGATGCTAACAGCACCTTCCACAAAGTGCATTAACCTTGTTGGAATGTTAAACATCTAGACCACTATATTATCATGCCTACATTATCACTAAGTAGTTTCTATTTCTACTTTAATGATGTTCAAGTACTTATACTTAAGTGGTTATCACTGAGTCCTCATGACTAACCATCATTAGGGAATTGTGCAATTTATTACTCAAACAGAACAATGTATCTAGTGATAGATATCAATAACTCCTTTCAAAAGCTATTACACACTACATATATTAATAATTATATAGTATATAAGACAACCTTTATACTAGATAACCAGATATATATGAGCAACATAGCTCAAAGGTCTAAAGTCTTCTGTAAATTTTAACAATAATACTAAAAAAATTATAATGTGTATGTACTTACATAAATAAGGCCAGAATAGTATCTGTCCTTGATGTTGTGCAGTACGGAAGCCTCGTTGAGGCAGGTCAGCTCCGCCATGTCCTCCACTTTGTCGAACTTCGGCGGGTTCATCTTTTGGATGTCATCTATAGGCACCAGCATCCTCTTCCCCGACTCCGCAATTTCCACTTCGACCTCATCTCCACGCTCCCCCTTTATTCCTGCCGCGACGAACCCTTGGGTGTCATGGGGCACCCACACCAAACGTTTTTGGGTCCACTCCGCCTGCGTGGCCGGATCATTGAAGCTGTTCCGGTCCACCGACAGGTACCGGAGCTCCGGGTCGTTTCTATCCATGTCCACCATCGCGCCTGATCACGCCGCGCGACACGACTTGCGATAACCTAAAACCGGCGCTGAATACCACATTAAACGCACGCCCCTACCGACACTGCACACAACACTCGCTTTCTAAGACACCCCTACGATCGCCTCGTGCCGTAAACGCGGTACGACACGTACAAAATTACGATTGCGACTGACACGACTGACAGAATCGCAACGGTTATTACGGGTAGGAGGGATGAACCGGTCGACGCCCGAATTCAGGTTGTCTTTAGCCAAATATATTACAAAACTTTCGATGTTTTCCTGGACGGAATGCTATGAGGATCAATTATGTTAACTTACAGCGTACACAAAACACATTTAATTACTAAGTTATGAGCTAAAATCACTTTTTCTAGTAATAAAACGCGAAACGAACGTACAAAACGCACCAAAAATTCTTTTTTTTATTGTATCAGACGGCAAAGTTCGTCCTCAACGTCTAAATTCTTGTGATGACCGTTGAATTTAAACTTTTCTTATTGGTTGTAATACTTCATTAAAGTTTAATCGAAACTTTTCCACCAATGGTACGGCTGAACTGAGTGATTTTCTGTCAAGATAACTGTAATTGAGAACAAACTTACAACCTGTCAAGAAAAGATTGCCAACTTTGTCCAAGCATTGCCAGTATTGTCACTTATGATCTTATGATCTGTTTTTTTTTAAATATGTTTTAACTGTAAATTTGCAAAAATTTAAATAGTACTAATTTAAGGGTTAATTTAAATTGATTATCATTTTTTTACATTTCAGTCAAAGTCAGTAAGGAGTTTCATACTTATTTTATACTGGTAACAGAAGCAAAACGTCAAGAAATGTCACTGTCTTATTTTGCCAATTCTATTCCAATTTAGAATTTTGCCGTATAAAAGCAAAATAAAAATAATAAATTGCCACGCAAATCACATCAAATTATATTAAAATTAACATTGTATATGTTACAAATGTGATTTAAAATTATATAGGTCATAATTTTTCATTTTTTTGATATTTACTGTGGTGCGGTACGAAGATACTTGAAAGATTTAATCTCTTAGGTTCCGGATGTACAATTATTAATTCTAGAGATAAAAGAAAAAAAAATTTTTCTTATAATACCAATAATGTCTAATTCAAATAACACGACGTACATAGTGGACCTTCGTTCAGATACAGTGACGAAACCTACAAAGGCTATGAAACATGCGATGGTTAATTCAGCTCTTGGTGATGATGTCTACGGAGAGGATCCAACTGTGAATGCTTTGGAGAGTAAAGTAGCAACGCTACTTGGTAAGCAAGCTGCTCTCTTCGTCCCATCTGGTACCATGGCCAATCTTATAGCAGGTAAATTCAGCATTATGGAAGCTCCGTAAAATATTAGTTTCAATTTTGTTTGATGGGGAAACAAAAACTTATTTGTTAATGTAAAATATAGTAAATATTTACATTTTTATATCCTAAAAGTTTTGTTTAAGAAGTATAAGAGTTTTCATTGACTAAAATTATCAAATCTATAATTCAAAGTCTACTAGCTTTTGTTAGCAATTTTGGCTCTTGTGTCATCACCATATATAAATTTAGGAGTATAATAACATTTTGTTAACTCATGTTATAACACATATATATCTTTGAGATAAGAAACCACTTATCGCTTCTTAGTTCTGACCAAAAGGTGTAAGTTTATCGCTACAAACTTCAATGGCAAAGTTAACTTAAAAATGATTATTTATGATAAATTATACTTAATACATTTAAGTTATAAACTTGAACAATGAATTTCCTCATTATACTAGAGATTATTTACTCTAGAATTTTATAATTAAGAAATTGCCCCTATACAATGATGCACAAAGATTTATATTCAATTTAATTGAGGATTTCAAATTTATTAAGTTAAATGGGTAATCCTGCCTGTAGCATTTGTTGCGTTATATTTGGCTCGTTCATGTACCGACACATTGTGCCGGTCCAAGGGTCTGACATCGACTGACATCTGCTCTCTCCGGCATGTACGCTCAAGACAAACAATATTACGTTTATGAATACACTAAACTGTCAAAAATACATTACCATGTTAGTAATATTGTACCCATCTAAAAATATTCCATTTTTAAAAATATTATAAGTTAAGCCTGAATTCATATGATCGTCCAATATTGATGCCATCACAATTACTAATTTAGTTATTATAATGTATCACAAGAATTTAAACAATTTAATATTCCGTTTTATTTTTAGTAATGGTGCACTGCAATAAAAGAGGATCGGAAGCATTCGCTGGACATTTATCACACATCTACAAGTATGAGCAAGGTGACACAATAACTAACGAAATAAGTAAGACAATGATGATTTTGTATTAAATGGCAATTATTTCACTTCTCAGGTGGTGCATCACATCTTGGCGGTGTACTACTCAGCACTTTGCAGAATAAACCAGATGGAACATTTGAGATTGCTGAATTAAAGAAGCGTTTAAGAGGCAGTGACTTGCATGACCCTATTAGTTCAATGGTTGCAATTGAAAACACACACAATGTGTGCGGAGGGAAGGTGCTACCACAGGACTGGGTTGATGAACTGGGTGAATTCTGCACAGATCATGGGTTAGCTCTGCATATGGATGGTGCGCGACTGTTAGACGCGGCTGCGTACTCGGGCTGTCCAGCCGCGCGTCTGGTGCGCCCCTGTCACTCTGTGTCCATTTGCTTTAGTAAAGGGCTGAGTGCTCCGGTGGGGTCAGCGTTGGCTGGCTCTTATCATTTCATTGAACAGTATGTATATTTATATTTTAACAGAGGATTGAAGTCAACAGATATTTGATTTAAAAAAAAAATGTCTTAAAGAACAGTAGTATAATGACTTTAAACAAACAGTAAATTAAAGTAGAAAATGGTACAAAAAAACAGAATTCAAACTTGTTTTCAAGTCAAAAATCATAACTTTTTAGTATTTGATAATTTTGCATTTTATGTGAAAGAAATATTTATTTATTGTAAAGATGAGAAAAGAATCAAAAATATATGGCAACTGAATGAAGGTTAATTCGGAAAAAAGGATGGAGAAGTCAATGGCTTCTCCTGGAACTGAATTAAACGGGGACTTAAAATAAAAGTAAAAATAGTTATATTTATAAACTTATGCATGTTGGAGCATACGTGAATAACTGTGTGATGATGTCAGGGCTCGTCGCATGCGCAAGATGTTGGGCGGGGGCATGCGGCAGGCGGGGGTGGTGGCGGCGGCCGCGGTGGTGGCGCTGGACGAGGTGGCGCCCCAGCTGCACTACTCGCACAAGCGCGCCCGCGTCCTCGCCACCAGTCAGTATTCACCTTACATAATATTATTATACATACACTGTACAGTCAGCTGCATTAATGTGAACATTTCTTTCAAAAATATATGAATATACTTTCCCTCTTTATACTTCCAACTATGAGTACATGCTAATGAAAGTGTAACATATGACAATTCTGTATTTTTTGGTTTAAATTTTAAAATCTTTGTTTGAAAATACAGTCAATAGATGGCGCTATTTCATACGTTAGAGCCTGAGTCTGTCGGGACGTTTGGCTTTGTAATCAGGGAAATGTTATTGAAGCAAATTGGTTGAGAACTATTTGCTTTTTGGCATCTTTATTATTAAAAAAAATATGAACTTAGTAAAATATTTCTATATTTTTAGTATGATAATGCACTTTTCATATTTATACATAGAAAATGTGTGTGCCTGATGACTACATTTGTGCCACAGCCATCCAGGGTCTGTTCCTGCCGACGTTCTCTGTGGACGTGTCAGGTCTGCACACCAACATAGTGCTGGTGCGGGTGGCGGCTAACAGTCCACTGCTCGCTGAGGTGGTGCTGCAGCGCCTCGCCCAGGTCTGCCTCGCTGAGACACAGGTTAATATATGTACTACGCTTACTTCCGCACACAACACACTTTCCAGTGCAAATAAACTCCATTTGAAAGTCGCTCATGTTGCAACTCCAAGTTATGCTACTTATAATCTGAGTTTTCATAGTACTTCCTTTCTATTTAATATACATCCAAACATATTAAATAATGATTTTAATAATAAATAATTTCGTAAGAAATAACAAAAATAACTCGTATTGACATGAAATTAAATTCAAGGTATTGCATATAATAATTTCTCGATCAGGGTGACTGCAAGACTCCCAACGACGAGGGTGTGATAGTGAAGGCCGTGTGCTTCGATTCCAAGACCATCAGGTTCACGTTGCACCACGACATCAACGATGAGGATCTGTGGCTCGCCATCATGAAGATCATCTACGTGTTCAAGGAACTCGATGCAGCGAATCCTTTTAACATAAATAACAAATAATATTTCAATTTGAAAATATTATAAAGAGATTCATACTGCCTTAATATTAGTGGTTGAAAGAATTAAAAAAAAATCTTGTAATAAACAAAATTAGATATAAGTTGAATATAATCTGTTCTATTATTGCTCAAAGATAAATACTTTATGTTATAGTAATATTGGAAATGTTGGTGCATTTTTTTGGGTTATACGCACAACGGTAGGTAACAACTTTGAGTCATTCGCACGGGCGGTTTTGTAACGCGCGTTAAAAAACTGTTCAAATAGAATGGATGTATTTACACATATTCATACAGCGACTTTTATAAAACGCGACGCTTTTTTAACGCGCAGTGTTGTATTATATGCTAGGCGAAGAAACAAGAGTGATATTAAATCGTTCATCGGTTGATAACCGCCAACGTTGTTTTGACGCAGCGTTAAAAAGCGGCCGTGCGAATGCTCTAAAATAATTATATTAATTTACTTGTGGATAATATTTATACTTTAAGTATATATGACATGTATGTACATTATATGTGTATATGTATAAGTAAGCTCGTTTTCATATAACTATTGTCAGAAATGTATAAATACATACAAAAGTATTTAAAAATTGACAGTTATATTACAGGTATTAGAAGCTCTCTTACGTAAACGTACAGTCAGCGTCATATAGATCGTCACAGACAAGATATGCAAATATATAGGTACACCAAAAGTATTCAATTATATCAGTACAACAAAAGTCCTCAAATTAATAGATACAATTTTGTCAAATGTACCGATATTTTTGCACACCTTGACTGCTTAGTTACTTATGACGCTGAGGCTGCTACGATATTTATGGGCACCTTGCGTGTACTCATATATTTGACGCTGTGTATGTACCGATGTATTTGAGCAGGGTGAATGTATCTATTATTTTGAGGACTTTTGTTGTACCGATATAATTGATTACTTTTGATGTACCTATATATTTGCATATCTTGTCTGTTACGATCTATATGACGCTGACTGTACAAATTCAATTACAGTCCAACCTGGGTAAACGAGAGTTGAAGGAACCGCGGTATTTTTTTTTGCCTAGTATCTCACTGACCTTAGTTTCTTCCGTCAAGGTCGTATAATGATTCTCTCTTATCCAGATTAAACTGTATATATATTTGACGAACAAATGTGTGAAATGTATTGTGCAATATTTTAGTATGTAATGTGAATTTTAATGTTTGTAACGAGTTAAACTCTGAAACTTTTTGATTAAGGCCTCAAGTGTTTGGTGCCATACATAGGTATTAAGTAAAGTTTAATATTGTTAAACTTATATTGTTATTTTATATACAAGAGGGTTCACTAATTATATGTTAATTAAATCGAATCGTTTTTTTATTAATTTGCAGTCAAACTCTGTGAAGCGGGAACCAAGAAACTATGTTTTTTTTCTCGCTTATCCAGGTTTGACTTTATGAATACTTTTTTGGCCCAATTTCAGTATCATCCATAAACAATAATTGAATCCAATCTTTAAGTATAGCCAAATAAAAAAAAAATTAAAATCATTTTGAAATATTTTATTAAATTAACTACATTATGGTTAAACACACAATCTTGCTCAACAATCTTTGATACTTATTAATTATATTGGTTTGCTTTATGAAGGGCACTAACTTATAACAAAAGTTTAACTTTATGACGTTAATTCTTTGCATGTTTGCTATAGTTTAAAAAAACAAAAACAGTTTGTTTGAAAAATGACAAATATTAAACATTATGTCATATTATTTGCAAGATCTTGATAACCACTTCTGTTCTAAATTTTTTTTAATAAATTATTTACATACTAAATGTTTGTTTCTTAGATAAAAATCTCCATTGAAAACATATCGCTATCTATTTTATCAAAGATAATGACAGGGATTCCGATATGGACAAAGATTTTGGTCTCAGAAACCAACCATAAAAAAGATTGACATTATACTTAAGAGTAATTGTCACTATATTTATGTTAATAGACAGAAGTTAAGAATAATCTCAAACTTATTTTCTTGACCAACCATCATTACAGTTGGGGACATTTATTTCCTACCCATTCAGATAATCCACACAAAATAAATACTTTCCAATGAGTTAACTATTTCATCTGTTGTCTTTTACTATTTAGTGAGTACATATGATTATTATGAATAAAGTAAAAATGAAACTAACATGGTTTCTATATATATAAGACCATATACTAAATATGTTTTACTTATAATCAGTATCTTTGAGTTCTCCGTTAATTGTTTGAGCATTTCAAAACATAAATATATGTTTATTACATTTAATTATAGATTTTGTCATGCAAAACTTAGAGATTTAAAAAAAATATAGAAAAAATGACCACACAATAATAAAATAGTTTTAATATATAGATATACACCATTATTAAGTCTACAAAGTACTTTTTATACTGACTTTTACTAATAATAGTTGGTTAAAAACTTTAAAAAAGATGAAATTGTTGTGATGTCTTTTACTACATATATGATGAGAGTGAAAATGTTTAATAAATAACAATTGCCTATTTTTCTTCAAGCTAATTATATACTAAATCATCCAAGTCCTAACAGCAGAGAGCATACAAGTGATACACATAGACAATTGATTCACTGAATACATATAAAATGAGTAGTCAAGTCCATTCACTATCGAGTCACATACACTTGCACCAGACACATGTTCACAGGAGGCTGTTCTGCTCGGTCCAGACGGTGAGGAGGTCGCGCGGGTCCGCGTACCCGTGCGAGGCGATGACGCGCCGGTAGCCCTCGCGGCTGTACGTCTTCTTGTAGAAGTGGAAACGCGGGCAGTGCGCCGGCACCACGCCCACCTTCTTGGCCACGATGCCGAGGTACACGTCGTCGAAGCGGAAGTGCTTCACGAAGAGGCTGCCGGCGTACAGCAGCCGCATGGCGCGGTTGCACACCACGTACGCGCCCGCCGTCACGTATGGCGGCCACCGGTTCCACGGGTACTCCTCCAGCGACACGCGCCACTTGCTCGACCGGAACCGCTGCGGCGCCGACTGGAACACGTAGCCCGCCAGCAGCGCGCCGTCCTGCTCGCTCCCGCCGCCCGGCGCGCTCTGCGTCACGTTCCTGGGCCGCGACCGCGACCCCCTGCGCTCGTGCACGTACTCGAGCAGGTTCCCGACGGAGATGTACATGTCGTCGTCCGTGAACAGGTAGAAGTCGGCGACGGCGCAGTGCTCGTACAGCCACCGGAAGGACATCATCGTCTTGATGGTGTTGTTGTAGTAATCGTCGAGGAAGTCGATCTGGATGATGTCCCTGTGCTGCGCCATCTCCTCCTCGATGCGCCGCTGCGTGTCGGACTTGGGCGGCGCGTCGACGCCGAGGAAGAAGAGCGTCCTTACTAGGGTGCCGGGGATGAAGTTCTCCTGACCGTACGTGCGGCGGATGGCGTCGCGGCGCTCGAGGTGGGGCATGGCGGACTTGACGACGATGAAGAGGTCGAGGCGCTCGAGCGTGGTGCACTTGCCGGAGTTGGTGAGGAAGCGGTGCGGGTAGTAGTTGATGGGCGCGAGCGGCGGCTTGCGGCCCGCCAGCACGGCCTCCACCGCGGGCCGGATGTCGCCGGCCAGCGGGTAGTCGAACTCCTGGTCGAAGTTGCGCGCGTAGATGTAGTCCCGCACGCCGAACACGTAGTAGATGTAGACGAGCACGCACGCGCACACCGCAAACTTGTACAACTGCCTTCGTCGCATTTTCGCTTTAGTCTTTGAGATTCATTTATCACTTAACTGCCGAACTCTGCAATTATAAAATAACTCGTTAATTTTTCAATTCGAGTATAAAACTTCTTTTATTCTTTCACATTACCTAGTCATGTGTACATCGGGGAATGTCCCGACATAAACAGTTCCATTTTTAAACGTGTTGAAATAAAGATATCGCGTTTAGAAATGGATTAACCAGATAAGTCTCACTGTATGGAATGAAATTATTCAGTCTGGTAACTTTAATTTTTAATTTTCTAAACTAAGTAAACACCAAGTTGTTGGTATTCAGCAGTTAATCTTGGTGCTACCGCGGGACGATGGCGTTCCGTGCGATATAGATAACACCTTATCATCCACGAAAATATTTGTCGAGCGAAGTCGCGGTATTACACGAATTGTGTCGCCCAGCTATCTGGCGGTGGACTATCATTGAACAAATGCAAAGAGATTCAAGATAAAGTAGTCGGTGATATGAACTGTTTGCTCTGACAGACTACGAAAAGGAGATTCACAATTATATTGTGCAATTTTCGGTCCAAGAACATACTTTTAAAATGCTTTTCATTTCTTTTAGCACACATATTTATGTACATAGAATCACAAGCAACACACACTTGCCTTATTTAAGGTTATAAACCTCCACTTACACATAACACACTTAAATAACTAATGATAGTATGACTGATAATTTATCAAAACTGTACAACAATCAGATATCAAAGTTACTAATACATTGCAATACATTTATTACATTATAAAAATAATGTCTCATAAAGTGAAACATAATAAAATAGTCAAGACAATGTAAATATAAAACAAGATTAATATCTACAATTTCTTATCAAACATTTCCTTTACTAATATTGGTGGTGTACAAGACAAGAATTTACCGGGTTACCTACAATATATTAGAATCATCAGAAATATATAGTTCGTCAATGAATATAACGAACCCCAAAATGCAACTGTACGGAACGCTTTATGTCCTTAGCAAACATTTACTCATACTTTACGATTTACAGACAACAATAGATATTTGTCACAGAGATTATGCTTCGTGCAAAGAATTGCACACATATATGTAAACATTAAATGTGCAAGATATTTTTTAATAAAACTACAGTAAATGTTACTACAAATTGTTTGAATAACCTCTACTGTACGTAGATCTTTCCCATCACATGATCCTCTTCAATATGATTCCCAAATAGAACTCCAGAGTTGGTAATCAAATTTCTTGACTTCCACATCACTAATTTTACTATGGTATGCAGCATTTGAGCAAAGAACAAGAACTCTTCTGCCCAAAATGCTTACTCAAGCATGTAATATATGTTGTTATTGCTTACCAATTTACAAAGAGGTATCCACGGTGGAGCTGATTGAGACAGGGGGCAGGTAATGTGCGCGCACTTGGCTGTGTAGTCGGGCCACCTCCGTATCCGCGCGTTCCATCTCACGGACTAATTGTGTAAACTGTACAATACCTGTACAAGTATGGTCTATGTTAAAGTTTGGCCACTCGATCCTTGCAATGTTGGACAATCAAAATGCCACAAGAGAGATACAATATGACATGAACCTGCTATGATAGCTGGTTATAGTAAACAAGTATGATAAACTAATGTGGAAGTTAACAATTATAGTTAATATTCCTCACTCAAAATGCCATTACCCATGGTAATCTAATTTGCAGGAAAAAGTTGTGACTATTTTCTTGTTTCACAGCAAATTATTTTGCTTCCAAAAGTCTATTTTGTATAAATTTGTGTCTTATTATCAATTGGCATTTATTACCATTACAAAATAGTTCTATTAAATGTGTGTTTCTACATAATCTATTATGTTAATTAAACAAGTACACCACAATTTACTTTTTACCTCAAAAAAAATGTTTTTTGATTGAAAGTTAATGTATTTTAGCTATTGTGTGGTGATGTAAATATGTTTTGATTCATGTCAGTCTAGCTTTTGCCCGCAACTATTTTCGCTCAGAATAAAAAACAAACTTTATAAGTAGCCTATGCATTCTTCAACACTATGTTCTACATCTATGACAAATTTCAGCAAGATCCATGAAGCAGTTCCGGAGATATCTTCAAACAAACATCAATCCATCCATGTAAACATTTGCCTTTATAATATTAGTGAGTTTTCTTAACATGTAACCACTAAATTGACATTTTCAAAAGCTGCTGCTACATATATAAATACCTTCTCGGGAATTAATAAATCCATGTCGCTTAATAGTCTCCATTTCAATCTGGACAACCATTGGGAAGACAATTTGCATCATCTTTAGCATCTCATTCCCGGCAGCCTCCTTGGCCTCGTCCAGCTTCGGAGCATAGTCTGGGGACTCTAGAGCTTCGATAATTTCAGTCAATATCAGTCTCACTTGGTCTACTGTCACACTCTGAAGTGAAGCCATTTCAAGGCATATAAAACCATTTAGATCTGAAAATGAATTATATTATATTTATTTCATAAAAGGACGAAACTAAAACAGAGTAATTTATGGTGCAGACACTTACAGTTAAATAATGTGGTTTTTTGATTAACTTCTTTAACACAAAAAATTAACTTTCTGCAAATTACAAAATAAGGCGAAATTAATTTTTCAATGTACAATTTTTAGTTTTTATTTAAAGAATGGAAATTGATTAGGATATTGAAAACATACATTCGCACCCAACTTGCACCAACGAAATCTATTTTTATTTCATATAAAACTAACCAAAAACCCAGAAAAAGAAAATGCAAAACCGCAAAACCTTGCAATCAAAGAGCAAAGAGTATGAAACTACTTTGTGCTTCAGTGTTGCAAGATGCAGCTGCAACCCACAACCAAAGAGTATATAAAATGCCCACAACCTTTATATACTCTTTGCCCACAACTGTCAAAAAAAACGAGTAAGAAGACATTTTGAACATTGAAGAAGATAAACTAAGGTCAAAGTCTGAATGTGTTCACATTAATGGGATTTTCCCAAACACCTGTTTTAATTTCGGACTTTCAATTTTGTTAGCAAACTCATCAGTTACAGATGAGTGTTGAATAATTTCCACTTCAACAATAAAAGCAAAAAATAATCCAACAATTAAACTGGCAAGCATGACTAGAAACTGTCATTTCCATATGTAAATTGTCAATAACGTCGAATGTCAAAGTCATTCAATAAATAAATTCGACAAAAATAAACAGAAAAATGTAATATAAAAACTTTACGTGCCAATTATGTATAACATGTTTTATCTTATCGTCTAAAGGCAATAGATCTATATAAATAATAGATAATAATAGATTGTCAAGGAACTATTGTAAATAATCAGTAAGAGTTATAAGTAAGCTTGACTTTTTAAAATTGCTTAAGCATTTCCTTAGTTTTATAAGGTAAGCTTAAAGTGATTAAAGATCGTTATTATTAAACAATAAACTGGCATTAAGGCGTTTTTAGATGCATATTTCGGGGACATTATAACCGCTTTGTTTGTAAACAAAGGTGTAAGTAAAGATCTTTACTTATAAAATGAATTTCTTTATAATTTAGGATGGAAGATCAAGTTGAGGAAATTGAGTTAAAGCCAGTGACTGTAAGGCGTACTTTCACTCTGAGGAACAATGTGGCGCGGCAGGTGGCTGTTAATTTCATGCCATCTAGGCAAATCCCGTATGGTATGTTATAGAAATACATTTTAATATCATCATATCTGTTCTTGGTTTACATATCTTGGTCTCAGGTAGATCTAATAGTGATGGTGAAAAGTGTGTGTTTGATATGGAATATTTTTTCAAATAACATGTACTTTTTAACATACATGGAAATAAATATTTATTTGCTCAATTATTGAATGCCTTATGATATTTCAATTGATGGTTATAACCTTAAACTAGATTTTAATTTTATTATTTGTTTAGAGGATTTATTTTTTTATAAAATTCTAATTATATAAATGATTCTAATTATTAGGTAAACATGAATATAATGTTCTGTTTTGTTCATTTACTATACAAGCAAGAAATTTAAAATATTGGATAAAATTTTACCGTTATGTGCTTCATTACACTGTAATCCTTACTTTTATAATATTCTATGGTATCATTTGGCATTCAAATTGAAAAGAAATTGTTAACCCTTCATTCAACGGAAATTTTTGTAGCAAAAAAAAAAAATTTTTTTTTGGTATGGTCATACTTACGTAATTTTCTCAAACTATTATAGTTCAGTAGATATTTTTAATTAGTTGTTCGTCACTGGACACCATCAAATTAAGGGTTAAGCCACTTTTCACACATAAAAAAATAATTCTGTCCAACATGTTGCACTTGCACCACTCGTAAGTCGGCCCTTTAACGAACTCTAATTAAGTTAACAAGTTAACAAGAAAAATGTGAATCAAAAGTCAGTGCACCATTCTGCTTGGCTACATACAGTTTTGTTTGAAATATTCTATTTCACAATTAGAATTATTTATAACTTAAAATGAATCCAGTAGAGTGTGATGAAGTAGTTACATGCCGATTGTATAGTAAGTAAAATACGTCTTATTTTTGGGGGGGCTGTTCGTACTTGACGTGATCCAAGTTTCCCTCCATAGTTCTTCTCCCCTACAAATAAGCAGGGTTGTCATTTCAGGTACACTACGACTACGCCGCAGCAACTCTGACAGCGAGGCGCTGCTGGCGGGCGGTGCTGATAGCGACCGGCAGGCTGATATCATCGTGCGCGAAATGGAGCAGCTGCAGCGTCTCATGGAGGATAACCCCGTCTCCGAGGAGCTTAGGAGGTACAGTCCGATAGAAACAGGCAACCGGTTGACTGCAAGTCTTCTGGAACAATAAGTCGAAATTGGAAAGGCAGATATTTTTCTAGATTAATCCGCCTTATAAGTATTAAGTCTTAGTAGGTTGGGTTTCCAAATTAGGCCTGAAAATAAGGATCATCAGAACCGCTACCAAATTTATTTTCCAACATGTGAACCATAAACTTTTTTTCCTTCCATCCAACTCCTCCGTCGCTCTCTCGTGGAATACTTTCTTAATCACTGTTGTCATAAATGTACAATATACAAGAAGGTGTGTTTGCGCAGAGAGGCGCTGCGCGACTTGCCTCAGGGTCTGACGATGAAGCGTACGGTACGCGCCAAGCTGTCCGCCTCCGTCAGCCTGCGCTCCAAGCACCGCCCCATCTCATTCTACAAGCGGCTCAAGTACAGGATCAGCTTTGCTATGAAGAAGGTCAAATTATATCGGAGTTTTAAAAAAACTTAATGAGTACCCTATGTATTATTCCAGCCATTCTGGACCATCAAACAAACATCCATCCATCCATCCATCTAAACATTCGCATTTATAATATTAGTAAGATATAGTGCATGTTGGTATAAAAGAGGATATGCAAAAGAGGGCATGAATTCCGACATGACGGATGATAGAAACGTATAGAAGACCTTTTGAAAAGGCTGACTGTGACCTCATCATCTCAACAGGGTCGTGATCGTATCAGTGAGTTGATATTTTCGATCGAGCCGTGGCACGAGGCGATCCGGCACGTGGAGGGTCAGTTCGGTTCCGCGGTGGGCTCCTACTTCCATTTCCTGCGCTGGTTGTTCGCGATCAATCTGCTGCTGGCCATGCTGCTGGTCTGTTTCGTGGTGGTGCCGCAAGTTCTGCATGATCAAGAAAATAATAATAAAACTGGGAGTATGGGTTTTTTAGACTTCGTCAGTGGTAAGGTATGTAGAACTTCGATCGTAATACAAATTCTTGTCTACTTTAGTTAAGAGTTTTTTTGAAAGAAATACACATAGTTTTACATTAATGTATTTGGTGTGATTTACTGTGAATTAATGAATTATAAGTTTATGTTGGTAATTAAGTCAAAAGTCTCAACTTAGTAAGAAAATAAAAAAACTAATAATTGGAATTATATGCGTCATAATTGTTTTTGTACCCTATAATGATTTTTTTAAGAGGAGCTTGGTTTGTATTGTAGGGTGGTTTTGAAGACAGCGTGTTATTCTACGGGCACTATCACTGGGGCGACGTGTCCGCGCTGGGCCCGCTTACCTACAACATGCCCTTCGCCTATTTCTTCACAATGTTCTCTCTCTACTTCTTCTTCTTTGCTATTCTCTGCTATAGGTAAGTATTCTAGATAAAATTTATCATTCTGTTTGTTTTTAATCTATGTTTTTATTTTTTTTTACCGCAGAACGGCGTATTCGTATCGACGTAATTTTATAGAGATAGCCGGCGGTCTTAGCAATGTATTTGCTACCAAAGTAAGTGTTTACAGGCTGATGAATACATATCTCTTTATTGAAAGTTTTTCTTGTTCAAGGTTCAAGCATCTATAATGCGTATTACGTTTTGACAGGTATTTTGCGGTTGGGATTTTGGCATCGTGTCGCAGCACGCGGCCTCTCTCAATGCTTCCAGTATCTACAATGAATTCAAGGTCATTTATCTTTTTTTATTGTTTGATGAAGGTTTCTTACATTATACACTCATTTGAAAGAAGATAAAATGCTGCTTGATAAGTTTTTTTTTTTAATCCGCGCTTACGTAGTTTCAACCGCTAGTGTAACAACATTTTTAAGAAAAAAGGGTTTACCTTGTAGGAGTTGCTGAGCGAGCAGAACAAGAAGCATGTGACGATGTCATTGTGCAGGAGAGTGTGTCAGTACATGGTGAACGTGACGGTGACGCTGTGCGTGCTGGCGCTGGTGGCCGCGCTGCAGTACGGCCTCTGGCAACTCCTGGCTCTCGACACTCAACTACAGCATTGGGAGATATTCGTCTCCTTGATCATCACATTTGTGATAGCTCTCTGTCCATTGCTCTTCAATTTGATTGTCAGGTCAGATTTTTTTATATCATAAGCTAACACACGAGCAAGAGAAGATATTATAAGAGGAGCGGAGCGTTGTCGACGGAAGTGGGGTATTACAGAAGAATAATATTTACCCTTCCCATATGTCCTTTTCCCTGTCAACTCTACATGCTTTCTTTATAAGATATGGAAGGGAAAGTTGACTAAATAAAGCCTCAGAAACTCAAAATTGTTTCATATGTATATATAGAAAAGCAATGGACTTAACATAGATGATATGTACAGAGTGGAGTACTACAAGGCGCGCACCGCACTGTACGTGACGCTGGCACGCACTGGCTTGCTGGACATCAGTACACTCACCTTGCTGCTGGTCTACTGGTCGCAATCCGGCACACCGGTGCGTTTACACTGCTATACTGTTGAAGGGCGATAGTCTTATGTGAAATTATGTAAATAAAGATGGGTTTCCACTGTGCGTGGTTGTAGTGCTGGGAGAGCGCGGTGGGGCGGGAGACGTACCGGCTCGTGCTGCTGGACTCTCTGGTATCTTTGTTCCTCCTACCGCTTGTTGAGTTCGCTAGAGGTTTCATTTTTAAGTAAGTTTGCTTCATTTTATTTTCATTTTCATTAGCCGTGACCATGTCAACGCAGAATAATAAAAATATTAATTGTCCGTGTGCAGACATACAGATAAAAATATAATTTATTTTTTGGTTACACACAGACACTCTAATTTTATTATTATGTATTGATTTTTTTGACTTATTTTTTACGTATTTTCAATTCGTTTATAAAATCCAAACTAAGGATTTTTGTTGTTTGGCGACATGTTTAGTCGTGTAGCTGGAGGTGGTTAGTAGCTTGCGGGTGAAACAATACTGTATTGCAGGATGAGCAGCAGCAGCAGCAGCAGCAGTACGGGGCCGGAGTTCAACCTGTCGTATAATTCTCTGACGCTGGTGTACAACCAGGGCGTGGTGTGGGTGGGCGCGGCGTGGTGCCCGCTGCTGCCCGCCGCGCTCGCGCTCAAGTTCCTGCTGCTCTTCTACGTGAAGCGGGAGTGCGCCCTGCGCGCCTGTCAGCCCGCCAGGAAGGTACAAATACTATCTTATTGCTGTACTGATAACGTTCAAATTGTCTAATTTATTCATATTTCATACTACATACAGAATGTACTGTAGGTGTGGCGCGCTGCGCAGACGCAGACAGTGCTGTACATGCTGGTCACATTGTCTCTCTTCGTCACACTCTTCGCCATCGGCAGCCTCTTTCTGCGGTCAGTCGCTTTTACATTTTATTCTTATACTATAACGAGATTAACTGAAGTTCAATGAACCGACACCAAAAAACTCCAGTATAAGTGGGACAGCATCAAAATATTTACGAATAATTTTATAAATGTAAATTTCTATATTACTAGTAAAACATTATACGATTACATTTTATTTACAATTAGTACTTTGGTTAAAATATAATCTCGTTTAAATAGCAGCAATTTTTGTCTTTTATTATAATTTAAATAATATTGTTTATTGCCATTTCACTGTCAGTTCACATCATCTCTTTAGTAACTTAATATGTATATTTTGGAATGCCTCTGCCTAACTCTCTAGGTGAGTGTCGTGAGTATTGTTGTTTGTGTGTGTGTGTGGCAGCGGGTCATCAGAATGGTGCGGACCATTGATGAGGTACAGCGCGGTGTGGGGCGTGGTGAGCGAGGGCGTGCTGCGGCTGCCGGACCGCCCCGTGCTGCACGCACTCCTCGCCTTCCTCACAAGACCCGGCGTCATCGCTTTCCTCTTCCTCTCTCTCTGGTAACTGTACACTCTATGGTTAACTTATTTTTTATATTTGAGCAGATTTTTGTCAAGTTACTAATATTTCTTGTACCATTCCAACTAAGCTCTATGTTTGTCCTACGACATGGTTGGAGAATACAAACAATATTTTAGTTGTAGTTGTAAAAATGATCTTCACAAAGCCCGATCTCTAAATAAACGGTTCGTTTTGAAGTTACGTTGATCTACTTATATGTGAATATGTTGTCTGTACGTGTCAGCGTGGCGACGTACTTGATGCGTGCGCGTGCGCGTGCGCAGCGCTCCATGGTGGGCATCCTGCGGCGCATGCTGGTGCTGCAGGCCAAGGACAAGGACTTCCTGCTCGCCGCTATAGACAAGGTCTCCAATGGAGGTGGGTTAATACCACTGCACACGATTTTCTTTTTTTTTATTTCAAAGTCTTTTAATGATCACTCAGGAATACCAATTAACGATTATAAATGTTATTGTGAACCTCCTTTTAGTTAAAATATTTTATCTTACGCTGGACCTTCGTTATTCTTTTAATTGATATTTTACCTTAATTTTGACAAAAATTGTCAGAATGGCTGTACAATCCTCGCGAGGAGGATCAATCGGCGGACAGCCACACGCTGAAGTACCTGCAGGAGGTCCGCAAGCCCTCCAACGCGGCGTACCACTTCGACGTCACCCGCCTCAACCACTCGGAGCCCCGCCCACATCGCGCGGAGACACGCCCACATCGTCCTCACTCCCACCACGTGGCCACACGCAGGACCAGCGAGGATGGCGACACTGACAGCTCCTTCAGCTGGCAGGGATCCGCCACCTGCTTGAACAACACTAACGACGATAAATTACAGTAGCAGCAAGAGTTACGACAGACGATGACCGAGTGGTGGGGGCAAACTTGTCATTTTTTTATTTCAAATACTATATCGAAATGTCCAATTTTTATTGATTTATTACTTTACAAGTTATCTATCTTTTATAGGCTGCTGAAATCCTAGTATTTACGATGTCTCTAAGCGGGGGAGGGGGGGTGCAGGTCCAGATCAGTGGTTTCTTCAAAGTATAATGTATTCCGACGCGACTAAAATAAAATTTACGTATTCGGGACCTACTGGTTGGGAAATTAAAATATATTTCATTTGAATTTAAACGACAAATATGTAAACTTATATAAAAACGGGTAAACACTCACATAAATTCGTCGTCACCGGACGAATATACGTGAGTGTTTACTCGTTTTTATATAAGTTTATTAAAATGTCTCACGAAAGTTTGAATAATTTAATGACAAATATATAGTTTAACTTTGGTATGAATATTTTAGATTTGAATTAGATTGAAATATATTTATTTCTATATTCTCACGTATTACAAATTAATTGATCTCTTCGTGGATTGTTTGTTATTTAACTTAAGATCTATTTTTATAACGTGTCAATTTGAAGTCTTCCAAATGTATTAAACAATTATACATTATAAAATTATTAAGAGATTTTTTTTAAACTAATGGTGCAATTTTGAATAGGCAAATGTAAAAATCTATATTTTATATGGCAACATTTATAAAAACATTTAGAGGTTATAAATCCACAATGAAATAAATAGAATTAATCATAATTTATGTCAATACTTAAAGATTAAATAAAGGATAATTTAAATTTAATAATTAGAAAAAATATCCTCATATGGCCTAATCACCCTTAACTTAGGGTAGGCTCCTAGCTCCACGGTGCGGACGTATAGTGAGCTGATGATGATGATGTACTAGCAATATATGGAAGGATTTATTTATAAGTACATAAATAATAAATTACCTTTTACATTATTTTTCTTAGAATAAACAATTTACATAAAAATATTATGTAAGTCTAAAATAATATTATTATTGTTTTTTATTCATATAAATGTAAATTGCATTTATGTAAAATAACATATAGTGCTAACTTGTGCCAAATATACAATGATTTTTATATAAAAATATATTAAATATGAATTTGTCGTGATAATATTGTAAAAGCATGTTTTACGAAATGTTTCTAGAAATATACAAGGTTTGTGTAATTATTAGGTTGTAATTAATTTTAAGATATAAATTTATATAATGCATTTAATATTTCTATGAATTGAATATTAAATTATTTTATATAGCATTTGTAATATTAATTTTATTTTTCAAATAAAAGAATTTCTAGAATTACTAGTTACTAAACACAGTTCGAAAATACGTTTGGTTTAAAAAAAATATATATTCTTGGTGCTGATCGCGATGGACTTGTTAACATGATGCTATCTCTGTTTTTTTCAATATGAGTAAGCGAGATAACTACATGTTTGCGTACAGCGGTGTTAGATAAAGTGCATTCGCTACAAAGCGATTTCATAACGAACTTCAAAAATGTATCTTTCGATAAATCATGCGATTCTCGCTTTCGATAACTCAGTTTTATACATTTTTGAAGTATGTTATGGAATTGCTTCGAAGCGAATGCACTTTGTCAAGCCACTCTAATGTTTCTTGAAAACTTGAACATGCATAAATAATATTATAGTTTGAATTATTGTTAATAATATAAAGATGGTCTCCAAAAAAGTACATGACAATAACATTTTATACTATTTATATCGCTTATGTGTATTTTTGAGATTTTTTCCATTTTATGAAATAAAGGAATTTTATTAATTTCAAGTGTTTTATTTTTAAGCATATAATAAAAGCAAAAAGTGTTACAAAATATGGTGCGCCATGATCGTGTCAAATAGAAATGCATAACATCGTCTACCCTATACAATTAGACCCTTCGTACACGAGGCAATGCAACTTCGAAACCCCAGCAATTTTGATCGCTAAACAACTTTCACAATTTCATAGAGTCGCCGAAATTTTGCCCTTTCGTCGCCGGAACTAGTCAATTGCAAAAGTTACCGCAATTTCCAAGATGGCGGAGCAAGTTCTATACATATTAAACAAATTATTGTAAATTCGTGACAGTTATTTCGTCGCTAACCTTGTTCTGAATGAATAGACGACGCGCGTTGACGTTTTAATATTATATAAGGATCGCGCGCTACGCGATACTCTCGATAATAGTATCTGAGATTCGCCTAGCCTAGTGTATAAAGGGCTTTATAGAAGCTTGTTTTTATTTTTGCATCAATCAAATTCCTGCCAACGGTTGCCAAGGCGATGGATCGTTTGTGTCATTGTTGACATATCGTAAAAACACTTCTGAGGTATAATATGTGGATATATTTTTAGCTGCCACCTTTCTTATTTTACTTGTGGTAAGTATATTTTATTTCGTAATACAATGCCTTCTCTAACAATAGATATTTTAATAAAATTAAATCTTTAATGAAAAGGGAATTCATTCTAATACGACCGTTGATACAGATATAGCGAAGTGTACATACTGTACCGTAGTGAAAACAACATGTATTTAAAATAACACAGTACTTGTATACCATCGTTCCATTCTCTCTATAATGCCCTAGCGTAATGGCTAGTGGCGATAGAAAGCGCCAACTCGGGAAGGCGTCTAGCAGCAGCAGTCGCGGACAGTCGCGCTTCGTGCCGGCGCCGCGGAGGCACCCCGTGCCGCCCCGACTGGCGCGCGCCGGCCTGCCGCACGAGCTGCATAGGGACAGCACTCTGCTCAGAGCCAACACCAGTTATTATCCTGAAGGTATATCATGTAACACTACACAACATTAGTGTGAGATCTAAATAAACGTAGTAATACATAACGTCACGTCAACGTGTTGTAACAGGAGAAAGCGAAGGCGGATGCAGCGAGTTTCCGCCGCTCATGCTGCGTAAGTCCTGGACACGCGGAGTGCCCTACAGGGATAGCTTTGATCATGCCAGGCCCTCAGATTCTACAGGTACGAACAAGAAACATTTAAGTCTCGTTTAGACTGTTTTTATAAGTGTCTAATGGACCATATTACAACTGTTGATAAAAAGCAATTTCCAGCAATTATGTCTAAAAAGAAATAAAAACACAAAAGCTTGATCTTGAACTAAATTATCCTAGGCAATTGCTACACGCCGGCGACGAAGACGATGCGCACGGTGCACATGCCGCCGAAGAGACGGCCGCCGCCGCAGCTTTACGGACCCATCGGCCCCAACGGCGAGCTGCAGTTTCCGCCGCTCAAGCCATGGGCCGAAAGGGAGAAGGAGAGATTGGACGCCATCAAGAAGGAACAGGACAAGAAGAAGCTGCCCAAAGGTCAAGTATTTACTTCTCTCGGAGTCCTGCGTTCTTATATTTCATTTGAAATTCCAAGCAAACTGTAGCTTCTATTGTAGTTGTAGATTCAACATAAATCTGAAAAATTATCACTTGCAGGGCTCGTGTTGTTAGAAGATTTGGTATCAGGAGCGTATGAGCGACGAAAGGCTGCAGCTGCAGAAGCAAAAAGGAAAAGAATAGAAAAGAAGCGACAAGAGAAGTTAGCCGCTGAGGAGGCGGCCAAGGAGGCGCTGAAGAAGTATGAAATGACCTAATATCTTAATAAATGGCCTATATCAAAAGTTCTCTTTTCTTCTTTTTTTAAATGTACACGGAAGGTGTAACTTGTCAGGCATCTAGCTAAGCTGTCGTTTGAAGTGCCGCGGGACCCTGACGACCAGAAGTTGGAGCTTCTGACGGTCACCGAGGCGGAGCATTACAGATACATTCACCCTAATGATTTGGAGAGGATTCAGTACTACATGACTACGGTTAGTCATCATCAGGAATATTATTCAAGAGTCGTTTGCCTTTTTTTACTTATACCACATTTGGAACTATTATCATCATCGTGTATTTACAGTCGTTGACGAACAGACACCTACCGGATTTCCCGGTACAGCTGTACCGGCGCGCAAAACAGCAGGTGGACAAACAGACGGCAGCCATCAAGCGCCGCCTCATGATCCTTACGTACCAGGCCTGTGTGCGCCAGAGCGAGGCAGAGATACGGGAATCCTTTGTTGAAGCTATGAAGAGGTGATTTATCACAATAATAATGAACGTCTTTTTTACTGCCTACATGTTATAGGCTGATACTATTCTAGTCTGCCGTGATATGTTGTAGATGCATCTTGACATATGTTTTGGAAGATCCTTGCGAGCGCGGCCGGCTAAGCATCGCGCATGTGCCCTCGCTGTGGCCCGCGCTCGTCGTGCACGGCCCCATGCCCTGGCACTCCGCCGCCGTGCGCTCTAAACAGGTAACTAAACCCTAAAAACGAACAACTTATTCTCTTTAACTTTTTAATACTTTTGTATTATAGACTAGTTTTTAAATTATATTTTACTTCTACAGGCGCTGTTTTACCGCCACTATCACGGGAACCCAGTGCTGTTGGAGCTGCGACGAATTTGGCAGCAGAGGTAAGAAACTAAATACGTTAAATCCCAACCCACTCAAAGCCTTATGACCTCCTGGTAATTTTTTATTGTTAAAGAAATCAACAAGATTGTTTTCGCTTTTCCAGGTATCAACATATGTTCATCTGTGATATGAAGAAGATGCAAGCGGATGGGCCATTTCCCCACTACCCAGCAGACTTCACGGAGCGGCTGCAGAAGCTGTGTGCGGCGACGCGCGCCGAGCTGGTCGACAACTGGCTCATTGACGTCGCCGACATCATGGTCAAAATGCGGCAACACTGGGCCATATATGTCGCTAAAGACAAGAAAGCTTCTACATTCCAAGTCGAAATGTTTTTTGGGTAACAGAAAGAAATTGAAACGTCGATTATTTAGTTTGCAACGAGCTTCCAATAAAGGAATAATTGCTTATCATTAAGTATATTGATCGTAAGTTATATTTTATACAGATGTATCCATAGTTTAATGTCGAGACAAATTCGTGATTTGGTGGAGCGGAGCGTGAAACATTTTGCCGAATATTTTGTGTACTATTGGGTGAGTTATAAGAATTTCTTATCAAGGATATAAAGGATAGAAACAAAAATTGAGAAGTTGTTTCTTTTAGGAAGGTAACAACTTTGGGGAGGAATACAAAGATTATACGTTCATCAAGAACTCGCTGCTGCGTATCAAGGTGACTGCGCAGCCGGGCAGCACGCAACTCTCCTTCGAGCCGAGCCTCGAGCAGATGCGGGTGCTCATCGTCAAGTGGTTCCACACCATCATCAATGTCAACAGCAACCTGCCTAGTGTTGACTCTATTATGTATCCTGGTATCTTTGTTTAACATGAATTAAAAATGACCTTATATAATTTTATTAAATATACAGCTTCTCAAAAATCTGCAGTAATTAGCAACCGTCGTCATTGTTAAAGATGTAAGCAAAATGTTAAGTCATGAGTTTATCCATACAGTTGTTAATGTTTTTAGATGTGACACGTCCAAGACCGAATCTATACAGCGTGTTCCCCGACGAGCGGTACATGGTGGATATCATCAACCAGACCGTGAAATATTTCAAGATCAACCGGCCCGGGCCTTTGAACTTCGTCAAGCGCTACTCCGAATATTTCCATCTGCTAGACGGCACTGCTCATCAAGACCTCATGTTGTTTTTTGGTCAAGAACCACCGCCGTTTTTGAAGGTTAAGATTAATACATTTTTATTATTTGCGTCATGATATAGTCATGACAAAGTTTATTAAGGAATTCATGTCTTTCGAAATCTTATTTCGCATATAAAGTTGCTAAAAAAATGCTAAATTGGCCTTGGGTGATCTGGTTTTGGGTGATTATCAACGACATTTATTAATGGTAACGTAGTATTTTTTGGTCTGCAACCGTAGGACTTCTCTGCACGAATCTACATGTATGAGGAACTGCGCGACGAGATCCTGTTCCTGCGGCGCGATATCCCACTCAACATGGTGCTGCTGGACTGCGCGCCAGTCAACGACACGCTCTGGGCCATCGTCGACGGCCTTCGCACGCATATCGTCGATCACTTCATCATGCAGAACAGGAAGTGGAATAGAGCGTAAAGAATTTAACAATTTGTTTTTTGTATAGATTTAGTTGGTACCTTCTATGTAAATAGCAACACTGATATTTTTAAGGAAAGAACAATACTTACATAGTTATGATTGTCCTATGTATGGATGACCTTAAGTCATCGAGTGCTGCGGGCTAATATTCAATACGTATCTGCAGCATTTGTGATGTGTACGAGGGCATGGCGGCACGCGCGTCCGAGAGTCCGGAGACGACGGCGCAGCTGGTCGCGCTGCTAGGCTATGTACTCGACTGCCGCGACTGCGCGCTCTTCGATCTGCGCGAGAAGTCGCGCACCTCCGCGGAGTACGTACTCTTCCTCATGCAGCACGCCCACCTTTCCTGTAAGTATCAAGTAGCAAAATGATAAAATGATATTTTGTACGCATATTACCTCTTCTATATTGTGCAAATATCTCTTTTAGTCGAAGATATAAATCTTAACACGCGCGTTTTCCTATGGCCGCTGGACATGGAGGAGACCATCGACTTGACTTTAAAGACGTTGAACACCAAGAAGAACATGGCGGAAGACAAATTGAAGAGCAAGAAGGCTATCTTCGAAGAGAAGCTGAAGAGGCACGAGAAGGAACTGGAACTGTTCAGACGTTTCGATCCGCCGCTCCTCAATCTGGATCTTTTAAGAGAAGTCGTAGGAAGAGTGGACGAGATCTTCTCCAATTTGATGGTAAGATATATTGAAAATAACCTGTCACCTGTCACCTGGCACTTACTTAACTACCAGCATTTGTGGTTCGTAACAGGAAGACAAGCACGAGGCGGACGACATTATCGCGGAGGAGCAGCTGCTAGACCAGGAGGTGTCCGCGTACTACAGCCTGCAGACTATGCTGGCTGGAATCGAGCCCTTCCACAAACTCTGGCACACCTCCTTTGACTTCTATGATGGCTACGAGAAATGGTACGAAAATTTTATTTCATGTTTTTAATAACTGAACGAATTTTTAAAAGTGATTTTGCTAATAAGCTTCAAAGAATGAACTAGTGCTTGATATTAAAATATCTGAGCGAATTACTTATACGTTTAAACAAAGATAGATAGAAATATAACTTTTACGGGCATAATGTAAAGGTACCACGGTCCGTTCCACGGGCTGGACGCGGAGCAGATAGCAACAGATGTGGAAGCGTGGTGGAAGCTGCTGTACAAGCTGGGCCGGCAGCTATTCGAGTTCCCTGGCGCCAAGCGCATCGCAGACATGGTGCGCAACAAACTAGAGAAGTTCAAGGTGCTGCTACCTGTGCTCTGCGCTATCTGCAACAGAGTGAGTGCCCAACGAAATTTACAAATTTGATATTCAATATGTTTACTTTTACTGTCATTTCAAGTATTAGCCAGTATTGACTATATGTATTCGGGTAGGGTATGCGCGATCGACACTGGGCACACATCAGCTCGCTGGTGGGCGCGGAGGTGGTGCACGAGCCAGGTACTACGTTGGCCGACATGGTGGAGCAAGGCGTGCACGTGTTCGCCTCGCAGCTCGAGGAGATCGAGCAGGTCGCTGCCAAGGAGTACTCGCTCGAGCAGGCCCTCGCCAAGATGAAGGACGAGTGGGTCGGCGTTAAGTTCGAAGTCGTGCCGTACAGGTAACCATCGTTGTACAAGTCAAATAATTTTAATGAAATAGTTCATCATTGTTCTGCTTTTTATAACCTACAAATATTTGTTCAAATATACCAGAGACACAGGCGTGGGCGTCCTGACAGGGCTGGATGATATCCAGCAGCTTCTCGACGACCATATCCTGAAGTCGCAAACTATGCGCGGCTCACCCTACGTCAAGGCTTTCGAGACAGATATGGTGGCTTGGGAGGAGAAGCTCATCAGCATGCAGGATATACTAGACCAGTGGTTGCAGGTACTATAGAGTTAGTTGTCTGGAAAAATACGATCATATCTTAAATACCGCTTTGAGTTTAAAACGACTTATGCATTGACCGTGTTTGAAATCTGATTTTTCATACTTTCTTTGTGTTGAAATTTATGAATGTATATAGTGTAGTGTCAATGTTGTAAGGCCACAATTTTTTTCTGCTTTAGTGTCAAGCAACTTGGATGTATTTGGAGCCGATCTTCTCGTCGGAAGACATAATGCGTCAGATGCCGACGGAAGCGCGCAACTTCCGCGATGTGGACAAGGAGTGGCGTGTGGTGATGATCGCCACGCACAAGGAGCCGCTGGTGCTACAGGCCACAGACTTCCCCGGCCTGCTGAAAAAGATGCGGCACAACAATGCGCTGCTGGATGACATACAGAGAGGTCTCAACGATTACTTGGAGAAGAAGAGATTGTTCTTCCCGAGGTAAATAATTTTAAGAGAGTTCTGTGTTATAATGTCCACATAAGAATCCGCTACATATCTTGTAGTGGTATATTCAGTCGTCATATTTTCTTGAATCAGGCTCTGACTACATTTTTAACTTGCAGATTCTTCTTCTTATCCAACGATGAGCTGTTGGAGATCCTGTCGGAGACGAAGGACCCAATGCGCGTGCAGCCGCATCTCAAGAAGTGCTTCGAGGGCATCTACACGCTGGACTTTAACGCCGCCGACGAGATTGTAGGCATGGCATCCGCTGAAGGAGAGGTCGTCAAGCTATCGTCCAGCATACAGCCGGCTGATGCTAAGGTCAGTGTGATCGGGCAACAATGTGAGCGTACTTTGAATAATTAAAATGGGACAACGTATTGATCTTTATCTTAGATTCCAAAAATCAGAAATAATCATATTGTACGACGAGCAGGGCATGGTGGAGCGCTGGCTGCAGCAACTTGAACAGCAGATGATCATCAGTCTGCGGGACGTGGCCGCGGAGGCCACCACGGCGTACAGCACCTGCCCGCGAGAGGAATGGGTGCTCAGCTGGCCTGGCCAGATTGTGCAGGCTGGATCCTGCGTGCAGTACACATCAGAGGTCGCCCTTTACACTTCTTATTCGCACCACTTTATTACTAAGTACGTTCTAAGTAACATCTAGTACGTTTGCAGGCTATAGAAGCGATCCAGACGGCCAGCCTGCCTGATCTAATTCGACGCTGCACGAACCAGATCAACGGGCTGGTGTACCTTGTGCAAGGTGATCTTGACCCTGGAAACCGCATTACCGTCGAGGCCCTAATTGTTATCGACGTACACGGTATTGCATATTAATAAAAAATGTTGATTGTTCAAGTGAAGATTGTTACAAAACATTGTAATTTCCTCATTAATTATTATGATCGCGTTCTCAAACTTGGTCAGGGAGATCTATCCTCGAGGAGATGGTGCAGAAAAAGGTGGCCGACATAACGGACTTCAACTGGATCTCGCAGCTGCGCTACACGTGGCGTGGCGAGCGGCTGCTCTGCTCCATGATAACCACCGACGTCGAGTACGGCTTTGAGTACCTCGGGAACACGGGACGCCTCGTCGCCACGCCGCTCACTGACAGATGCTACAGGTACAAAGAAAGTGTAGCCAACTGAGTAAACTGTTAATATATTAACACTTTCGTAGACATAACATCGATATCTATGAACGTTGGTATGAAGTTGGCCCAACTGAGATGCACATAATCAGTGAATGAATATTGAATTGAATGAATGAATGAATATTTATTTATTGCCACAAACAAGGAAAAGAAAAACTAAAAAAAAAAACAAGTTAAATTAAATAAATTGAGGATGTGGCAAAAAAAAAAAGTGTTGTTGTTGTCTTTCAGAACTCTAATGAGCGCTCTCAAGCTGAACCTGGGCGGTGCGCCCGAGGGCCCGGCCGGCACAGGCAAGACGGAGACCACCAAGGACTTGGCCAAGGCTGTGGCCAAGAAGTGTGTCGTTTTCAACTGTTCAGACGGACTCGATTATAAGGCACTGGGCAAATTCTTTAAGGTAAGTGGTATTTTTGTGCTTTTAAATGATTCTTATCTTATCCTAGTACCAAACAACTTCATCGATCTATTGTGTTTCAGGGTCTAGCACAGTCTGGCGCGTGGGCATGCTTCGACGAGTTCAACCGCATCGAATTGGAAGTGCTCTCGGTCGTTGCGCAGCAGATCCTGTCCATCCAGCTGGCCATCTTGCGCCGCGAGAAGCGCTTCGTCTTTGAGGGTACCGAGATCAGCCTCAACCCGACATGCTCCGTCTTCATTACTATGAACCCTGGGTATAGATATTACTTCTTACTGTTCCACTATTCTTAAGTTTAACGACATGAATCACTTCAGCACATTTAGAGCCACATTTTTTACTAGAATTGTGTTACAGTTACGCCGGTCGAACGGAATTGCCCGACAATCTAAAGGTGCTCTTCAGGACAGTGGCCATGATGGTGCCCGACTACGCTATGATCGGGGAGATTACCCTCTACTCTAATGGATTCGTCAATGCCGGCCCGTGAGTACAATTCAGACTTTTGTTGCCTAGACAATTATTTTTTTATCTATTATGTCATCCAGAAAATTAGTGCCAAACTTCTAAAAGTTTCTTGGTAATTTGTGTAGGCTTGCGCGTAAGATAGTACAGGCGTACAAGCTGTGCTCGGAACAGCTGTCGTCGCAGAATCACTACGACTACGGCATGCGCGCCGTCAAGTCGGTGCTGCTGGCCTCTGGCGCACTCAAGAAGAATTACCCCGAAAAAGACGAGGCGCAACTGGTGCTGCGAGCCATCATCGACGTCAACATGCCTAAGTTCCTGTCCCAGGTCACACGCAAACACTTACACATATGTTAGAATAAAACATTGAACTCAATCTCTACTCAAGTTATAAGTGTACGTCGATTGCACAAGGTATAGTGAACTGAGTAGGGTTTTTCAGATTGTTATTTTTTATAGGACGTACCTTTGTTTACGGGCATCTACTCGGACTTGTTCCCTGGCGTGGAGATCCCGCAGCCGGATCGTGTCGAGCTAACTCAGTGTATATTAAAGGAGTTAGAACGCCGCAACTTGCAGGCCACGGACTGGTACCTAGAGAAAATCATACAGGTCAGTCTACACTACATCTAACGTCCTTTTTTGAATGATGATTTTTTTTTAAATTTATTGTACGATTTACTTAGATCTACGAGATGATGCTGGTCCGTCACGGGTTCATGACTGTGGGTCCACCAATGGGAGGTAAAACGCAGGCGTATCAATCACTGGCAGACGCCTTACGAGCGCTGCAGCTACTCAAGCCGCCACCGAGGCACAAGGAATTCGGTGCCATCTATCGCATCCTCAATCCCAAGGCAATCACCATGGGACAGTTGTACGGGTGCTTCGATCCCGCCTCCCATGAATGGTATTATTTTCAACTTAGTCATAGTTCTTGCTCTTGAATGTTTATTTACTTAATTATCGATTTGAGGTCGGATGGCGTGCTAGCTATCGCATTCCGGGAGTACGCGATGTCGGCAACGCGCGACCGCAAGTGGATCCTGTTCGATGGACCCGTGGACGCAGTATGGATTGAGAATATGAACACTGTGCTTGATGACAACAAGAAGCTCTGTCTTATGAGCGGAGAGATCATACAGGTGCAATAAACTAAGTAAAATATTAATCCCAAGCCGAATTGCAACTATGAAAAAGTGTATCCTATTCATACAGGTGTACTTGTAATTTGTACCGTTGTTGTTGGTGTAATTTTGTTACCGTCTTTTACAGATGACGAACAAGATGAACTTAATTTTCGAGGCAGCGGACCTGGAGTTCGCTTCCCCCGCCACAGTGTCGCGTTGCGGCATGATATACATGGAGCCTGAACAGCTCGGTAAATTTGCAGGAGTCTATTCCATAAAGGCGATCGTAATGAGGGAAGGCTTCACACAACAGTGAATTAGCTGATGATGATGTTTTCTAGGATGGCGCGCGTTCTTGGCATCATACAACACGCACCTTAGCAAAAAGCTGATCCCGGAGCAGTATGAGCTGATCCAGGAGCTAATCGACTGGCTCGTACCACCCATGTTCGAGTTCCTTAATCAGCGCTGTCACCAGTTCGTCAAAGTTGGAGATATTCATCAGTTTTACGTAAGTTGCTACAAATATAATAATTTAGGTCACATTTGTATTCATTCAACTTTACACTTTAACTACATAACAGTCGTTCACGAGGCTGTTCACGTGCTTGCTGGAGGGAGAGACTCAGTTTAGCACAATGTGGCTGCAGTGCACCTTCGTCTTCTCGCTTCTGTGGGGACTCAGCTCTACTATCGATGGTAAGTGGTTATACACCTTACAAACACATAATTCCATTATGAATTTCCTGCGTTCATAATGCACAAATACTATCCTATCCACTAAAGGTGACAGTCGGAAACGTTTCGACGCATTCTTTCGAAAGTTACTGGAGGGGAACAATGCAACGTATCCGAAACCCAAGTCATTCAAGTTGACTAAGAACCAGCTATTCCAAGACAAGGACACGGTGTTCGACTACGTGTACGACAAGCGCAATAACGGCACCTGGATACCCTGGGTCGACCTGGAGAAGGAGGTCGCCATACCGGCCACAGCTAAGGTAAATATTTTGACCTATCTGTGATGCGCGTAAACCGAGGCTCAAAAATTAAAACAACTTGCAATATTCAAATACTGTTTTCTCTTATTAAAGATGGTCATATAAATTGGAGTTCAATTACTTTAATGTGAAACTTTTTGTTGATTAGGTCAATGAAATTATAATCCTAACAAATGAGAACGCGTACCTGCGGTACTTCGTGTCTAAGATGGTGAAGTCCCAGATCCCAATTTTGCTGGTGGGTCCCACCGGCACGGGCAAGTCCTCGCTCGTCATCGATTTCCTCCTTTCTCTGCCGAGGCACAAGTACATCACCAACACCATTAACTTTTCAGCCAGGACCACTGCTAACCAGGTATTTCTGTTTCTTAAATTATTTATAACTTATTCAAACTTAATATTAAACATGATCTATTATTTTTAGACTCAAGACATCATAATGTCAAAAGTGGATAGACGGCGTAAAGGTGTATTCGGCCCATCAATGGGTAAAAAGGTAAGAATGGGTGCATCAAACAAACAGATGCGCCTGACATTTGCCATGCGTGTGATTTTAGAAATAGGTAATATAATTTAATGTCTCTAGTGCGTTCTGTTCGTGGATGACCTAAGCATGCCACAGAAGGAACAGTACGGCGCGCAACCGCCATTAGAGCTGCTGCGCCAGTGGATCGACCATGGCCACTGGTACGACCTCAAGGAGAAGGCGCGCCAAGAGGTCGTCGATGTGGTCAGTATTATGTGTGTTGATCGCGGAACTTGTGGTCACAGGTGCCATGCCCAATCCGTCAAGTAAAAATATCTCATTTTAGCTATTCGTATCGGCGATGCTGCCTCCGGGCGGTGGGTCCAACCTGATCTCGTCACGTTTGACGCGCCACATGTTGCTCGTCACCTTGGACTCCTTCGAGGACAATACACTAAACAAGATCTTCTGTACCATCATGGACTGGCACTTCGGCAAAGGGTTCACTGAAACGTTACAAAGGCAGAGTAAGGTTGGTTGCTGGTTAATTATAGAATCCTTCTTTGATTAAATAAATTTTAGATTACATCGAAGCCTTATGCTGTATTATGTTGGTGATGTGGTACCATTCCAGGCGGTGGTGGCGGCGACGATGGAGGTGTACAAGGCGGTGACGCTGCAGTTCCTGCCGACGCCCAGCAAGTGTCACTACCTGTTCAACCTGCGAGATTTCGCGCGCGTCATCCGTGGCGTGCTGCTTGTGCCCTCCTCACACCTCAAGGAGCTGCCCAAACTCGTGCTGCTCTGGATACACGAGACCTACCGCGTCTTCTACGACCGCCTCACTGACGACACGGACAGGTCGCTTAATACACAGATAGAAACTGTATCAAATGACTCACAACTACATATGAAATATCGATGTAAATTATAACGTGTTGGTTCAGGTCACGGCTGTTCGAGATAGTGTACAAAGCGGTGTATGCGAATTACCGCGTGCACATGGACCAGGTGCTGACGGAGCTGGGCTATGTGCCCGAAGGCGAGAAGCTCGCAGACAGACACGTCAACAACGTCTTCTTCGGCAACTACATGGAGCCTGACGCCGATCCAAAGATCTACGATCAGGTTAACGAGCTAACCGTAGCTTATAATCTATTTTTAATCTAATCGTTATTGTTATAAATAAAGTTGCCACTCCAGGTATTAGATCTGGAAGACATGGCGGTAAAGATGGAGTATTACTTGGATGAGTACAACGTGGTATCATCGTCGCCCATGGCGCTGGTGATGTTTCGCTACGCGCTAGAGCACATCTCTAGGTGTACGAGAGTGTTGCTGCAGGACAACGGTAGGAACATGACAGTTACGAGACCTATGCAGCTGGATTCTTTGCTGGATGTATACTAAATTTGAATTATGTGAAGGCAATCTGCTGTTGGTGGGTGTGGGCGGCAGTGGCCGCAGCAGTGCGGTCAAACTGGCCGCCAGTATTTTAGAAATGAACGTGGTTCAGGTATGTGTTTTCATACAAATATACATAGTTAAAGTTCGACATGATATATGAGTAAACGGATTTAAATTTATGCAGTCCTGCAGTAATTACTCCTTAACAAGCACTCAATAAGTAATGTGTTCAGATCGAGATCTCGCGCGTGTACGGGCAGTCGGAGTGGCGCGACGACATCCGCAAGTTGCTGATGAAGGCCGGCATCCTCGGAAAGCCCATAGCCTTCCTCTTTGCTGACAACCAGGCAAGTCTTCATATCTTAGTAGACGGATATAAGAAATACCGGTCTACCCACAAAATCAGTAATAGGGAATAGGACGAAGATTCTTTTATGTTTCGGTTCTTGATTAGCAGTGCATTGCATTGTTGGGCAGATCATATACGAGGGCATGGTGGAAGATATCAACATGCTGCTGAACACAGGCGACATCCCTAACCTCTACGGTATGGACGAGAAGGTCGAGATTCTCGACAAAATGCAGGCCGCCGTCAGGGAGTCTGTGAGTGAACTTAATTCTATCTACATTTTAATTACAATGCAGTCATTTTTACAGTTAAAATCTACATCTATGTATACGAACGTAACTTTTCCAGGGCAAGAAAATAGAAACGACTCCACTGGCCATGTTCGGTTTCTATGTGGAGCGAGTGAAGGCTAACCTGCGAATAGTGCTGGCGATGTCCCCCATAGGCGACTCTTTCAGGAACCGCCTCAGGATGTTTCCTTCGCTCATCAACTGTTGTACTATTGACTGGTAATTTCCTATGGAAAAATACATTTTTCATGCTCCAAATATTAGCAAATACAACATGTAAGCTAAGATTTGCAATAAGCAAGGAAGATATAATTTTGTCCCGTGTTGACAGGTTCACAGCGTGGCCCGCGGAGGCGTTGGAACGCGTGGCGTCGATGTTTATCAGCAAGATGGATGACGTGAGCGAGGAGCTGCGCGTCACCTGCGTTGATATGTGTCAGCTCTTCCACATGAGCGTCGTCAAACTTAGCGACAGGTTTTGTCATAAATAACGCAGTGTTAAAAAACCAAGTAATTAAGTAAGAGTAGTTCTTAAATTGCGTGGGGGCGTCACATTCGATAGTCATGTCATTTGAATACGACTGATGGTCTCTATGTAAGAGAGAGGTTATCTATATTGTATTTTAATTATCGATTTAATTATTAGCATTAAATAATAACATGCAGGTTCTACACAGAGCAACGAAGGAAGGTGTACGTGACGCCGACAAGCTATTTGGAGCTGATTAAAGCGTTCCAGAGCTTGTACACATTAAAGGTGGACCAGATAACCATGTCTAGAAACAGGTATATCGTATGTGATATAAAACTTACAACAAGTCCAACTGATAAGAAAGAGGCACAAACTCTGACAAAGCTACAGTGTTGTTTTAGGCAACTGTGTAAGATGTAGAATTTGTGGTGTGCAGATACGAGACGGGTCTGGAGCAGCTAGAGTTTGCGGCGGGACAGGTAGCGGTGATGCAGCAGCAGCTAATCGATCTGCAACCGCAGCTCGTCGACACCTCGGACCGCACAGAGAAGCTCATGATCAAGATCGAGCAGGATACAGTGCTCGTCGAGAAGCAGAAAGAGGTCGAGTATTTTGAAGCAAGATTGTCAGCTGGACTGAAATTAAATAGTTGGAACATTTGGACACAAATACATCATTTTTAAGTCACTTGTCATATTAATCCAGTCACTGGAGTTGAAGTAAAGAATCGTGTTAAATGTATAGTTTTATAAGTTTATGTTGATACACAGATAGTGGGGGCGGACGAGGCTTTGGCCAACGAAGCGGCGGCGGCGGCGCAGGCTATTAAGGACGACTGCGAGTCGGACCTGGCTGAGGCCGTGCCCGCGCTCGAAGCCGCGCTCTCCGCGCTCAACACGCTCAAGCCCGCCGACATCACGCTAGTCAAGGCTATGAAGAACCCGCCCGCGGGTGTCAAGCTCGTCATGGAGGCGGTCTGCGTCATGAAGGGGATCAAGGGTGATAGAAAGATGGACCCCAACGGTAATTTAATAATGGAAATCTTTTCGGTGGTAATATTTGATTTGTAATTATTTTATTTACTGTCTTGAATATAATATTTTTTTGTAGGTAAACCATACGAAGATTATTGGGGACCTTCGCAAAAGATGCTCGGTGATATGAAATTTTTGGAAAGCTTGAAAAATTACGACAAAGATAACATACCAACAGCCATTATGAAGAAGATCCGTGACAAGTAGGCAGCATGAAAATAGTTTGTTATTTTTCAGACATATATTGTTTGCGGTGACGATGTAAGCGCTTACGTGTTTTAGGTATATTCCGGATCGCGAGTTCGATCCGGTGGTGATTGCCAAGGTATCGTCGGCCTGCGAGGGTCTATGTCGCTGGGTACGCGCCATGGACGTCTATGACAGGGTCATCAAGGTCTGCTTACATTTTCATTAATCGATCCGTCCGTTCATAACTGCACTCATCGCGGGACGTTGAATGACCTTTAACTTTTCGTTACAGGTGGTAGCGCCGAAGAAGGCAGCCCTGGCGGAGGCTGAGGCCGAGCTACAGGTGCAGATGAACACGCTCAACATGAAGCGCGCCCAACTGCAAGCCGTGCTCGACAAACTTCAGGTTATATACTTCACACAGTGTACTCGTCTGTGTGGCCCTTTCGAATGGCTATAACAACTTGGTTTATTTTGTGATAGGCATTGAATGACGAGTTTGCAGAGATGACCCGCAAGAAGAAAGGTCTAGAGGATGAGATAGACCTGTGCTCCACGAAGCTGTCGCGCGCCGAGCAGCTGATTGGCGGACTGGGCGGTGAGAAAGCGCGCTGGACCCTGCTCGCGCAACAGCTGCAGGAGTTGTTGGGCAACATTATTGGTAAGAAATACCAGAAGTCATAGAAGAATTAATTTATTTGTTAAAATAGCAAACATAATCGTCCTCATTGCTTATATTTTTAATATATTCCTAGGTGACGTTCTTCTCTCGGCGGGTTTTATCGCTTATCTGGGTCCATATACTGTGAATTACAGACGAGAAGTTATACATGTCTGGAATAACAGGGCTAAAGCGCTTGGTAAATATTCTTTGAGGTTATTTCACGCGTAATTATTCCTTATTTCTCATTTTATTTTTTATTTATGTGTAATTCGTAGAAATCCCGTGTTCGGATACATTCTCTTTGATCACAACGTTGGGCGAGCCGGTGGTGATACGTGCGTGGAACATCGCGGGCCTGCCTGTGGACGCCTTCTCCATTGAGAATGGTATCATCGTGGAGAAGTCGCGCCGTTGGGCGCTTATGATCGATCCTCAAGGTACATTTTTATTAAGAACTAGTTAAAGATCGCAAAGTAGATAGAATTTCTAAGAACATATACATATCTAAAGAGACTGCGATATTTTTTGTACAAAAACAATGTGCATGAACCAAGAACAAGCGAACAAATGGGTGAAGAACATGGAGCGTGAGAACCACCTGAAGGTGATAAAGCTGACAGACTCTAACTACACCCGCGTGTTGGAGAATGCCATCCAGCTGGGAATGCCCGTGCTGCTGGAGAACATTCGCGAGCAGCTGGACGCAGTGCTCGAGCCTGTGTTGCTCCGGAACATTTACAGGTGTGCGCTGGAATGTAGCACTAAGCTTTCTTTTGGAAAACGCTTGCCTGTTCTGCATACAGTTCCTACACCTCATCTATTTTTATCATCAGGTCGGGTGGCGTTGACTGTTTGAAGTTTGCAGACAACGTCTTGGAGTACAACTATGATTTTCGCTTTTACATCACAACAAGGCTCAGCAATCCCCATTATTTACCAGAGATTGCTGTTAAAGTGAGTGGGACACAATATTTTTTGTTTCTTGACGACAATAATAGTATATAAAAATAAACTCATCAGGTGACAGTGTTGAACTTCATGATAACACCGCAAGGGCTAGAGGACCAGCTACTCGGCATAGTGGTAGCGCAGGATCGACCCGAGCTTGAGCTGAAGAAGAACCAGCTCATAGTGGAGGGCGCCAACAACAAGAGGACTCTTAAAGAAATAGAAGATCAAATACTTGAGGTAAAATAATTACTTTTTATATCAAATTACAGCGACAAATAATTTTTAAGTTAACTATGATGTAACATTACAGGTGCTGTCATCGGCCGGTAACATTCTAGAAGATGAATCAGCGAATCAGATCCTGTCTTCGTCTAAGGTCTTGTCGATAGAGATCGAGGCGAAACAGGCGGCGGCTGCTGTGACGGAAAAGGAGATAGACGAGGCACGTCTACTGTACGTGCCCGTCTCCAAGCACAGCTCTGTCCTCTTCTTCTGCATCTCAGACCTTGCTAACATTGATCCCATGTACCAGTACTCGCTTAATTGGTGAGTTCAAAATAAATCCTGAAGATGTCACTGATTTTTTGATTATATTATAGAAAAGAACTAATGTCTATTGAATGTGTATATTTTGCAGGTTCATAAACTTATACAACCAGGCGATTATAAATTCGCCGAAGAGCGACGACCTGACGGAGCGGCTCGAAGGCCTGAACAACTACTTCACGCGCAGCATATATGAGAACGTCTGCCGCAGTCTCTTCGAAAAGGACAAGCTCATCTTCTCTCTCGTTCTCACCCTCGGCCTGCTCAGACCTAAGGTGTTTTTTTTACTAAATATAGAAAAAACTTTTTAGAGTAAAAAACTCTTTGTCTTTAACAAATGTTCTTTTTTCTTATCGGTGTTTCTGTGTGGCCCGATGGGTCTATTTATCCAAAGGCCATAGAAAAAAAATCACAAAATGGGAACAGGTACATTTGGCAGGCTGACCGACTTAACGGTAAACACTGTTTCCTATTTAGGGTTTGATAGACGATGAATTGGTCGCATTCCTACTGACGGGCGGCGTGGCGCTGGAGAATCCCTACGAGAACCCGGCGCCTGGCTGGCTGTCAGAAAAGGCCTGGTCAGAAATCGTACGCAGCAGTAATCTCAGCGGGTAAACATTTTTTTATGTTGCAATAAAATGGTTAAAAATTAATGAAACCGAAAATGTTTGTAGTGATGCATATTTACGCTAAAATATTGATTACAGGTTAGAAGGATTTAGAGATAACTTTAAAGCGAATGTGAAGGCGTGGAAGGATTTCTATGATCTGTCGACTCCGCAAGACAACGAACTACCGCCGCCGTATCACAATATCAAAGGCATCCCGAAGCTCATCATCTTCAGGTAAGTTTGGGGGGTGCACAGTACATAGAAAATACTTCGAAGTGGTACGATAACAATTTTAGACCAAATTGTAATGGTTCCCAGATGTATCCGACCGGACAAGCTGATCCCGTTGGTGCAGCAGTACGTGGCGGACTCGCTGGGCCGCAACTACATCGAGCCGCCACCCTTCGATCTTCAGCGCTCCTACGATGACAGTAACTGCTGCTCTCCGCTCATCTTCATCCTGTCCCCCGGATCCGACCCCATGTCCGGCCTCGTCAAGTTCTCCATGGAGAAAAAGGTCATCAGCTTCGAGACCATTTCACTGGGCCAGGGTCAGGTTAGGATTTTTAATTACTCGTTTTGATTTTTTCGCTTTCGTTCATCGATGACTTGTAAATAACCTCTGCAATATGTGTTATGCTAGGGTCCGATAGCAGCGAACATGATCAGCCAGGCCATCTTGACCGGCGGCTGGGTGGTGCTGCAGAATTGCCACGTGATGGAGTCCTGGATGGGCGAGTTGGAGCGCATCTGTGCGGAGGTGATCACACCACAGGTCACGCATCCGGAGTTCAGGTGCTGGCTCACCTCGTACCCCAGCAAGGCGTTCCCCGTCACCGTCCTGCAAAACGGTTAGTTGGTTTTGACGAAGGGAGAAAATACATGCCTCTCAAGCCTAATGACATAATAAATTTGTTTGAAGGTGTCAAGATGACGAATGAAGCACCGAAAGGTTTGAAGAACAACATGTACCGGTCGTACACCTCGGACCCGATCAGCGACCCGGAGTTTTACATCTCTTGCCCGCGCACGGAGGAGTGGCGCCGGCTGCTGTTCGCGCTCTGCTTCTTCCACGCGCTGGTGCAGGAGCGCCGCGCCTTCGGCCCGCTCGGCTGGAATATACCCTACGAGTTCAACGAGAGTGACCTCAGGATTTGCGTCATGCAGCTGCAGGTTAGACCATATAGTCGGTAGAATCATTAATAAAGGAATGTCGTGGTAGGGCCTCCCTGGTGAACACAACACATTTCCTACGTATGCGTTCCTATAGATGTTCCTGTCGGAGTACGCTGAGACGCCGTTCGATGCGCTAAACTACCTGGCGGGCGAGTGCAACTATGGCGGTCGCGTCACCGACGACAAGGACCGCCGCCTCATACTCTCGCTGCTCTCCATCTTCTACAACGAGGAGGTTACCACTGACCCCGAGTGAGTGATACATAGAAAACTACGGCAAAGTTTATAAATTGCATAAGTCTTTGGACCTATCTGGATACACTAAGGGGAGTTGATAGTAAAGGCTCGGTTAACTGATTTATATTATGCGTGTAGCTATTCGTTCTCTCCGAGCGGCAACTACCGCATCCCGCCAAAGATGGACTACAACTCGGTGCTGGAGCATATCAAGGCTCTGCCGATGATCGCACAGCCCGAAGTGTTCGGTCTGCACGAGAACGCCGACATAACCAAAGACAACAAGGAGACCGCTGCGGTGAGAATCAACAGTCAGACATTAACGACACGCTTATGGTTGCATTATAACAATTTGCATCGTATTTGCAGCTGCTATTCGGATGTCTGCTGACACAAACGTCGATCATGGCGGGCGCGGGACAGCAGGGCGGCGAGGGGCTGGGTGCGGCGGAGCTGACGCGCGAATTACTGTCGCGCCTGCCGTCGCCCTACGACATCCTAGCTGTCTCCATTGCCTACCCAGTGCAGTATTACAACAGCATGAACACTGTGCTCAAGCAGGTACTAGTTAGTTAGTACTAGTTTACAACATTTAAGGTTACTCAGAGAACATTTAGTTTATACAACTTTCTAGACCAAAAAGTTGTCGTTTTTGTCTGTAAATTAAAAGCAAACTTCTTAGGAGTTGATCCGCTACAACCGTCTGCTGGCGGTCGTGGCGCGCACTCTGCACGGCGTGAACCAGGCGGCGCAGGGGCTGGCCATCATGAGCGCCGAGCTGGAGCAGTGCGCGGACTCCTTCCTCAAGGGCATCGTGCCGCCCGCCTGGATGTCTAAGTCCTACCCGTCTATGAAGCCGCTTGGATCTTACATGACGGATTTCCTTGCAAGGTTCTTATGCTTTGATATAAAATAAGCCGTTCATTTAAAAAATAATCCACATGGCTGTACATTTTTCTTACCTTTGCCATAAACACATCTGGAATTCTCGGTATAAAAATGGAAGAATTAAAAAATACATTTTAAATGAAAAAATCAAATATTAAGTAAAATATAATTTTATTCCAACTATTATCTTACATATCAATACTGATATTTAAAGTCCACTGGCCAATATTTTCTAAGAGCACTTTTAATTTTTACGATATACAACTTACAGTTTCAAAATATGACACAATATATTAAACAAAATTAGAGAGAAATTATAATTAAATGCAAAGTTTGTACTAAATGTTGTTTAACAGAAACAAGTGATTTAAAATGACACTTATTTTACAATTACTGAAATTATATGTCGAGGCAACATTGACATTACACAGAAATTGCTTATAAATGCTGATGTTTTGAGTATAAATATTATTAATCACATTATTAAAAAAAAACTTTCGATTTAAAACTATTGATTTCTAATTAAAGTTGTTGAGCAATTTACAAATCTTACAAATTTTCTTTTCATTTTAAATATATAAAGTACATAACATATATAATATACACAAATACATATATAAAGTCAACAATAATACTATAGTTAAAAATACAATTCCAAAGAACTCAATGCATTTTAAAATCTAAACATTTAATAATCCTGAAATTGAACAATATTATGGCAAATAAACTTGTAATTTGGATGTTAAATATTTACAAAGATTCATCCCTGTCTTTTTCTCTCCAAGTCTCTTAATTTCAATGTTAATTCCTCGCCAAAGGATTCTCTATATTTTTGACTAATATTATCTAATAGAGCATAAAGAGTTTCATATTTCCTTTCCGAAGTAATAAATCTTTTATTGTGGCCCTCAACAACACTAAATCCTGATGCTGACATTTCCACTGTGTACACTTCATCTTCATGGGTGGTTATTTTAAGGTATATCTTTTGATTAGTACTCCTCAAGTCTGGCTCGACTATTGCTTCTTTGACATGTTTCCGTACATCATTCAATGCAGCTTCTGCTTCTAATGGCCATGTTTCTTTGTCTAATACTTGCTCAGTCATTGTTCTGTAAAAGAAAAATTTAAATTAAATTAATATACATTAAATGTGTGGAGTACTAACTGTCGCCCGCGACTCCGTCTGAATTTAATAAACTAAGCAGCCTATGTGCTTTTCCAGACAATCAATTGACCCATTCTGGAGATACCTTCAAACATCCATCTATCTATCCATACAACCATCTTAAAATTTGCATTTGTAATAGTAGTAACATAAAAAGTATAGATATTTTAAGTACTTAGAAAAATAAGGATTGTAACAAAACACTAATATAGCAAATTAGTATTTGCCATATCTTCGACAATTTGGTAGAAAAATCTTGTTTCTTTCAATACTTTCACCTTGTAAAGTATTAAAGTAATCAGTAATCTATGAATATTTGTTTGTTAGGTTAAAGTTCCTCCAGGATTGGATAGACGAGGGTCCACCGTCAGTGTTCTGGATATCAGGGTTCTACTTCACGCAATCATTCCTGACGGGCGTGCTGCAGAACTACTCGCGACACAACCGCATACCCATAGACAATGTGCATTTTGAGTTCACCATCACCAGCATGGAGGCTGAATGTGAACAAGAACCTACTTTCGGAGTTTATTGCAAGGTAGGTTCATATTTACTTAGTTTTTCTATGGGAAATGATTAGTTTTTTATTTGCCAATATGTTATGTTTATGTACTACATATTACACAATATCATGTCTATATACATGCAGCAAAGGAAACAAATGGATAATCAGGGTCATGAACATAGTGTATATGTTTGGGTGAGTTGCATGGTGTTACACAAAGTTTGATATAATCTGTTTTACTTTTACCAATAGTATAAGCAAAATTACAGTAAGACAGTGATTTCTATAATTGGATAGTTCATTGTTTGGAAACAAAAGCTGTTGCTCTATTCCAAATTGAACGCTCCTCTTGAAGTTCTTGATAATTAATCAAAATAGGCACAAAATACCATGGCGTATAGCTTATCCATGTATAGAGGTTGGTGTAGTAACATAATACTTTCACAAAAGAATTAAAATTTCCATCTAAGTGTTTCATGTGTACAGGGATTGTTCTTGGAAGGCGCTAGATGGAATCGTGAAACTATGCAAATGGATGAATCTTATCCAAAAATTCTCTTTGATACCATACCAATAATCTGGTTCCAACCGGCTCTCATAGAAAAATTTAACCCACCGCCGAGTTACTTCTGTCCTATCTACAAAACAAGTGAAAGAAGAGGTGTCCTGGCCACCACGGGACACTCCAGTAACTTTGTCATGTACATCACCTTGCGTACAGATATACCAGAGAAGCATTGGATCAACAGAGGTGTAGCGAGTTTAACACAGCTTGATGATTAAATGTATGACATATTTATGATTTTTTCTTAAGTTAATTTTAATGATGTATTTACAATATGAAATACTGTTAATGGTTTTCAAATAAAGCTATTTTTAATACAATTTTTTTCTTTTCTTATTCTATTCAAAGAATAAGTATGCATGAATTAAACATTTTAATAAATTACTTACCACAAGAAGAAGTAGAAATTCTGTGCTAAATGATTTTAAGAAATTAATTTAAATACCATGAGAAGTAAAGGAAATACGAATGCAATTGGAAATTAATAATAATAAATGCAGATCTCTTTTTATTTACACTTACAAAAATAATTTCACATTGAAATAAACAATAAATTTGCACAAAACGCCATGTCTGTCATGTCAATGTCAAAACTTTTCGAATCGAAATAAACTTTTTTAGTGAAAATATGTTAAAAGCAACAATCATCACAAGCCACATGAAAAAAGTTTTATAAAACTTCGGTTCAACTTAAACGAACTTGAATTTCTATGATTTTTGCCTTTTGGATTGGTTGATTAAATGTATGACATATTTATGATTTTTTCTTAAGTTGGTTTTGTTTACTTTTTACTTTATTTTTTTTTTTAGAAATTGTACAAAACGATCAAGACAATAATATCACAAGTTTTGAACTAGCCAATAATCCTTATTGTCTGAAAACACTGAAATTAGAGCAGAAAAAATATGCTACGATATAAAAATTCATCAAATTATTTCCTTTATACCAGAGAAAGTCCTTTTAGCGTTCACAGCAAGAAAATCCGAAAACTATAGGGTTGTTAACCAACTGAAGTTATGGTTAAAATTACATGCGTAAAATGGAACTAAGGAATTTGTTGCTTTTTGTTGTGTCTTACAGATGGCGCACGGAACCTTGTATACTGCGTATGCCGATCTGACGTTTTTGGTTATTTTTGTTCTCGCCTCGTGTTTACTTTAGTGTCTAATTTTGGTCCAATTGCGAAAATTTTGTTGTGCAACATCTCAAAAGTTAATATTTCGATAAGGAATCGTATCCCGACGCCGAATAATATCGATCCACGGTTCCGGACTAGATATATGTATACAGTTTTATCACGTGGTGGTGTGATTTATATAATTCTTGTTTACCGCACTAGCTGAAACTTTGCGCATGTGCGTCCCGTCCGTAACCTCAAAGTGTAGAACGGGGACGGATTCGGCAGTTTCCGGATATCCGGGTGCTTCGTTGGAGCTGTGATGTGCCATCGTGAGGGTGTGCGGTCCGCGGGACAGCGTTGGTGAAACACGCGCCGGAGATGGCTCAAACTCAGTTCACGCGGAGCTCGGAGAGCGACGCATGGGCGCTGCTCGCGCTCAAGTCGGCGCCCGCCTCGCCTTCGAAGGTGCAATGGGCGCAAGAGCCGGCGCCCATCGCCATCGCGAGACTCGACGGTCGGGATTTTGAGTATCTAATTCGGCAAAAACGTGTCATAATAGGGCGGAATTCGAGTAGCGGTCAGGTCGACGTAAACATGGGACATTCGAGCTTTATATCTCGCCGACATCTGGAACTGTTCTATGACCACCCAGAGTTCTACCTCACGTGCAACAGCAAGAACGGCGTGCTCGTCGACGGTGTGTTCCAGCGCAAGGGGTCTGCCGCTATGCTGCTGCCCAAAAGGTAAGCAATTTGCACCCTTATAAAAAAGTATACTTTGTTTGTAAACATTATTTTTTGTTTATACCTACTTAATCGATTTTTTTCTACAAAGGTCAAGTAATTATGTAGCAATTTGTTTACGTTTTGTTAGTTGTAATTTTTCAGTCAAATATTATTCTAATACAAATTAAGTCATCTTTAATAGACTAAATACCTTATTAAATAATAATGGGGTTATAACATTTTTTGTCTATGTTGTCATCTAGCTTGTTTCATATTGCTTTTCATTCAATGTACCTATGTATATGTTGTAATTTTGATAGCTAAATTGATTATTATTACATTTAATTGCTTGACAAATATTCTTAAATAATAATGAATAACAAGTACAACGTTGGGAATTTGTCCAAATTTATTTTTGTATAGTGTGGGTGTGTTTATTTAAATGCATAATTGTTTCACAAATTAAGTTGTTAGTCATCACATGTTTATTGATGACATCATCCTGTTAAATTCTACAAACAATGATATATTTGGTGTGTAATAATGCGGCATAATCAGAAAAAATTCTAGTGAAATGCAGAAATCTTGTTGTCCTTATTCAATTTAACAATTATTTCATAATGCATACATGATATCACATATGTAGAACTGAACTTTACATAATATGTTGTATGAATAACATTGTTTATATACAAATAATAAGTTATCTTAAATAGTTTTAACATAATATACAGTTGAACCTGGATAAGCAAAAAACTTAAGTGAGAAACACAGGTTATAAGTTAAAAAAATATCGCAGTCTCTTGGACTCTTGTTTATTCAGGTTCCAATGTATTTGAAATTGATGGTTGAACCTAATATGTGAGAAGGCATGGTGACAATCTGTTCTCATTTCAAAACATGGAAATGTATGTTAAAAGGTCTGGTCAATTGAGTAATGTAACAATTAGTTCCGCAATTAATTCTATTTCCATTTATAAATAACATTAGTTCATTAATAAATTTAATTCATCATTTCATTTGGTCTACCTATTTGTAGTGATAGTAAATTACTTCATTCATTATTTTCTCTGATTGCTATAAATGTATAAAATAAACAAACTCGTTTATCAATTGACAGAGTAAACAAACAGTTGCGAGGTCATTAGATGTCCATATTTGTTTTGCGTGCACTCTTCTTCCAATGATAAAAAAATTAAGATAGTGAAAAATATGTTGTTAATCTTCGAATGATATCGCGCGTGTTTTTAGGTCCGCATGTTAAGTGAATTGTACTCTGAGATTGGATGATGCAATATAACGTAATACCAATACATATTGTGAAGCTAAATTTTTATATGCAATTCATATTGTACTAAGCTTACTTTAGTACAATTATAACACTAGCACATATTTTTAAGTCAACCTTATAGAGAAAAGGTAGACTCGGTAACTTGTTGCTTGGTGAATATGACATGGTTATACAAGTTTGATAATTTCTATATTTGTCTTACAAAGTTGTTGAATGTTTAACTTTATCTGTGAAAAACAGATATAAAATTTTTAAATACAATTCTATTGGCAGTGGAATTATACCACCTTCAGAATTGGTGATTTTTCTTTTTGCAAATTTCGTTACGGTAATGATGACGTGCATATTTATTTTAATTTGAATGATGATTTTAAAATGTTTGTCTTATCATGCTTAACAAGAAAAAATTCTTATTAACAATATATAAGTAAGATTATTTATTTCTCTTTTGAATATATATCCTTAAACAATTGTTTGTGTAAGCATTTTAGCCAAGGTAGTTTAATAACGTTAAAACCAAACAGATAATTAACACAAGCCTCACTTTCGGTGAATATACGTCACACTAGCTACGTTATTATTATTTCATATTTGTCATTTAGCATGTTGAGTATAAATTTTCCATTTACTTCACACTCACACAGTATGTAGTCCACTTAGTGGAGTGTTTAATTAAAGTACTAGCCTTAGTACGAGTTCTTTAGTTTATCTACACAATGAAAGGTGTTCCATCCTTCCTATATGTTCCTCCCTCTGTTCTGTTTCTAGTTGTTTTTCATTGTACTGCATGATGTCATTAAAGCTTTATTGATTTTACTAGCTTATTCACAGAAATATTTGATTTTGAAGTAGAAGTGATCCATGAAGAAGCGAAATTTGTTTTGCTGCTATTATTGTTCTCATAGATTGTTAAGTAAAGTAACTTGTTCTATTTCCTATCAATTAATAAGTTAAGTTAAATAGCTTGATGCAATTGTTTTATGTGCATATAAAAAGATTATGTAAAATACATATTAAATGTGATACACGGTCGCGGTGTTTTTCCTCGTGAAGCGATTTTATGTTTGTTTACAGCAAACGCGAAAGGTAATTTGTTTTAAACGTCTATTTTTAAATTCGTCCTTGTCTAGCGATTTCCTATGTCCCAGTTATCGTTATTATTATGTCTGTTTACCTTTTGTTCTACAATATTATGTACATTATTTTATATTTGTTAAAGACAGTAATGTAGAATATGTATAATAAATAGTAGTATTCATTATTAAATGGATTTTGGATGGAAGGATGGATACTTTACTAAATATTCGTTTATTGTGTAGTCTTGTTGGCAACGAATGCAAACAGAAAATTAGTAGCTTTTGTATTTTGTTCTGTTTCGTGTCCAAATTTCAGTTTTCGTTACTTTTATCATGTCTAGGTAGTTTTAGTATGTCGTTTTATTACCTTTTCCATAGCAGATGTCTGCGTGATTTGCTTACTTTATGATCGGGCCTAGTCACGATCGTGACTTGGTGACTGTCACTGACCGATTGTAAATTTCGCCAATTTATAATTTCGCTAGACATATTATAAGCATAAAACAATACAAATTTTACGTTTAATGTACTCGTACTCGCTCATCTCACAATTGGCTGTTAGTTTACAATATGCCTAGTAAGGTTATAAACTGACGGAATTTGGTTTCGATGAAATCATTATGTTGTCTTGTTTCGAGCTCAAAGCTAGGCTTGTTTGGTCTTGTCACATACAAGGTGGCGCCCCCGTTTGCTATCTTACAGACATACACCGGTATAGCTGCTCATAATGTTTACTTTTTTATAGTGTTTCCAAATATAAGGCGTAGTACACGGTATTTTAGTAAGTCAGGATTTAGTGCCCTGTCAGTACTCTGCCCAATGTGCCAATTTAACTGCAACATTGTTTTTAGAGTTTAAGTCAGTCAGAGAGTCAGGCAGTTATGCAATTCGGTATAATTTTGGAAACTAGTATCTATCCTTTTTCTGGGCGTCCTCTCCACCGTTGATATAAGGTAGCCAAAGCACCTTCAATTGCGGATGTCTATGGGTGGTCGCTTCGATGTTACAGCATACTCAAGTGGCTCGTTTGCCACCTTATGAAAAAAATAATCCTTATAATCTATGCCAACATTTGACAGTGTAGTATCATAAAAGTCCTAACAAGGTCACCTTTAATAATAACCTTGTGAGAAAGAAATGAATTTTGTCAGAAGTCTAGACCCGAACCTCGTTATTTGTATTATATACAGTATAGATAAATATGCGTAAATAGTGCGACATCCTGTTATTTACATGATTTGGGCGCGCCACTATGAGGTCACTATTCTGTCCAATTGTCGACATGTGTAAGGATAGTGACTATAACGTGGACACCACCGGTTCGATCCAGTTTCATCTGGATTATCATTTATTTTTATCGATTCGTTTAAATGTTTATCAGTACAAGTTTACTTTAAAATTCGCCTTCAAATCTAAACGGCTTATTTGAATTTGTAATCGTTCGTTTCCATTGCAAAAATAATTGTACGAAATGATAATGTCTACCCTCTCATTCTATTCGATATAACAGAGATAAAGATATGTTTTTGCGCACGTGCTTCAGCAGTGAAAACTTACTGTAAATGTGGCTACGACGAATTGTGTTTACTTTTTTACGTGAATCGATGTCGTTGCCTTATTATAATTTCATCGGGTCGAGTTGAGATTTGACTTTTAAAATATTCATAACGTTTCGTACATTGTCATTCCTACTTAAGTAGGGCATCTGTTTTAAGATCCCTTCAACTGAAAATAGCTAAAGCTACGGTGTAGCGCTTGTAAAGTGCTTTAGGGCCGTGTGAAAGGATCGCAGTACTGAATACCACCAGTTCCGTCTGGTGTACGCATTCCGCTGCTGACAGTGAAAGTCTGTGAATCACGACTCGCGATTCGCGGTCGCTCCTGGGATACGACGCTGCGACCGCGACTCATCTGCCACACAATAGCCAGCACAGACATACACCGCAACTTTTATTGATTCCTAATACTGTTTTTGGAAAACATAATATTATGACGTCATGTTTAATTAAACCTAAGTTGAACCTTGCTATCTCTTTGATTATTGTTATGTCACTTTACATTACAATGATACTTAGTTTACTTGCAAATAGAAGCTAAAATCGCATATAATATCTTTATCTGTCTATTTACGGATGGACGTAACAATTTTTATTACATACATATTACATAATTTATTATTATGTAGTGTGATATAAAATTAAACTTTATAAAAATATAAATAGAGGCACTGTTTATGTTAGTAGGACACATCCTCTAAGGACCGGACGAGAGACGCTTCCGGCTTCTACGGAGGGAGATTAGCCTCGTCCAGACATGTAGGCGCGTGTCGACTACGTGATGCTTAGATGTACCAACTGTATTCATTTATAAAACACATATATATATATATATATACATGTGTATTGTCTGTCTACATATTTGACTTCTCGATGCGACACTTAACATATTTTTTATGTACTCAAATGGTTTGGGCAAAGATTACAGAGTAAATGAACCAAAGTCGCCTCATTGTAATCTCGCAATTAGTAACATTTTCATCATTCATCAACCACTTTTCGTTAGTCTTCATTGTCAGGTTCAAAGTGTAAAAATGTCTGCAATAATGGTTAAGGTAAATAGGACATAAAGATGGTATTTAGTTCTGTTGGATT